CCGAGCAGAGAATGGGCGGAATAATCAATCTTGATCAGCCCCATGGGCACGTGCATTCCCATCGCGACGACAAACCGTTGAACATCACGTTGACCGATGACGGAGTCAAAGAAGTGGCCGCTCAATATGTCATGGAATACACCAGCTATCGCCCGGAGGCAAGTGACCCTGAAAGGTTACGACTATCGGGTGAAGTAGCGCGCGAAGTCCCAGAACATGCGCGGAGCACTATTGGTTGGAACTGGAAGATTCCTGTTCCAGAACTGGAGTTGGGTCTTCGCATTATTCGTGTGATTGTGATTGTTCGTGAGATCATTAGTTGCTTCATCGCCGAGGGATATTGCATTGCATGCCCTGGGGCTAACTTTCTTGCCCAAGGCGCCGGCGTAGATTACGATGATGACAAGCGTCGAAAGGATGTATGCGCTCTTGATTGCCGCATTCGCGCCGCGATTGAGACAGACGACCTCATTGAGGAATGGGCCCGTGCTGTGGGCAAACAGGGTCGCATCGATATCCGCCGCCAGGGCATGAAGTTACAAGAAGCTGTTTATTGGCTACATCCACATGTGGAAGCCACTGAGCTTCAAGACAAAGATGAAGGCCACTTTCGTGGTGCCTGCGGCAAGTTTGGTATTCTTGTTGCTACTGCCGCAAGGGGCATTATTAGATTCGCTAAAAGGCGAGTTACGAGTGTTCGTGAGAGAGGAGGCGCTGAAGGGGCCCCCGACGGCCAAGCCGATACGGAGGGGCCCGCTTTGGCGACAGCGAGGCCCAGACCGCCACTTCATCCGCGCAGATCCGACGTCCAAGACGATCGGGCTAACGATGAAGTCACGGAGTCTCCGCGCTCTGCTGGCGGTCAAACCGCTGCGGCAGTTGATGGGCACTCATGGTATTCGTCTGACAGGGACACATGGGATTGGTCGAGGCCTACGCGCGCGCGGCGGAGCCATGGATGCCGGGCGCGGGGCTGCCGGCTACGACCTCTCCAGGCACTACCCGTGCTACGCCAATGATGCACTGGATGGATACTGGTTTCACCGGGGCGTGATATCCTGGATGAGCCCGAGGGAGAACCAGTCACGCGCGTGGCACGTCGTGTACCTGAATGACTACAACTACCGCTTTCCGAGAGAAGGAAAGGGTTCCAAGAACAAGAACAAGGACAAGCACAACAGGCCAGCGCCTTACGCTGGCCGTGGCAAGGGAAAAAGATCCCGCTCGCCCTATTGGGCCGCGGATCAGACGGGGGGCTCGTCATCTTCGCACCCGAGACCTCCGTCTCCGCCGTCGCGGGGATATCTTTAGCACAAGATGTGAGAGCAGGCCGAGCCCGCGCGACCAAGTCGCCGCGGGCTCAACCGAGCGACCAAGTCGCATCGGCACAGAGAATTTATTTAACTATTGGTGGGAATCTTCGGGTTTCTTCGGCCCTCAGCTCCCTGGCAACCACCGTCGAGCGGTAAAAGTTTTTTTTGCGTTTCGCTCTGGTGGCTGTATATATGTATAGGCCAGGCGAGTTGTGGCTGGATGGGCCCTACGAAGCCCGCCGCGGGGGGAGTAAACATGCTCCTCTCCGCCTCATCTTACACTTGCCTGTCTCGCTGCCTGCCTTGCCACACCTTGACCCTGCGGCTCTGTGCCGCAGCTGTTCGTGCTTACAGGACAGAAAAAGAAGCGCGCCGGCCCTCGGCCGCCGCGAGTCGTCGGTCGTCGGCCGGCCGGCCTCCTCCCTTCCCACTCCTGAGTACAGTTGCTTAACGGTTACTCGTAGTTTCATCGGTGTCTCATCCCGTATCCTCTACTACTGAGCAGAGTCAACGCGAGACCCTAATTCCTTTGTCATCTTACCCCGATTGTCAGAGGAATGACTCGCCGCCCCCCACCCCTTCGCGGTCCGTTTCGTCAGCTTTTCCCCCCCCCACTTCCTCTCCGTGTTCCTCGCCCTCCCCTTTCGTAGTGCTACGCGCAGCCCCATAGTGGGTTCTGGACAGCCCCCTGTCGGGCCACATTCTTGAACCTCCCCCCAAACAGTTTCAGCTTCATAGTGTTGGTTATTTTGGCAGGGCTGGCCTCCCTTCCCGATTGTCTCATACGTTCATTTGAAATTCCATATATGTTTATCAGTTTTCGGGCTTGGAACAGTTCCCAGCAGTTGCGCCTCGTCGAGGGCGTTCGAGGGGTGCCCGGATCGTCCCGAACGGCCGCCGCAGATTTGGGCAAGCCAGACGACGAGGTTCGTGGGAGGGTTCGTTCGGCTGAGAGTGGAGCGCATCGACCCCTTGAGCGCACCCTCGTCGGCGACGGGGGCATGATAGCCCACCCTGCCCAAGAACCCTCCCCCTGACATGGTTCCCCAAGGTGGAATTCGCCCACTGTGGGAAACATTGACCCGTCGAATGCCGATTCATCGCCGACCAGCGTTCGGGTGCTTATTCTATCCAGGAACTCGTGGACGAACTGTTCACTGTCAGGGGCCTATCACCGATCCGCTGGCGATGGGCGTCGTTTCCAGGCCGATGTTCCCTCCCAGAGCCAACCGCCTTTCTTTCGGCTCGGCGCCCCTCAATGTCCACACCGCGCCACTCCTCTCTGGTCGTGCTTCCAAGCGATGGGGTCGGTGCACCATCCTGACTGTGTGCAGGTTGGCCGAAACGTTTTTCAAGGTAAGCTCGTCGATCACCGTCGTGGAACTCCCCCCCTGCACAAGACACTGCATGAACGTTGTTTCTCGGAGGGCCGCGCGAATTTCTGGTGATGGCGCTCCCCCCCCTTGCGGCGCCTTGGGCGCCGCCCCCAACGCAGGCGTGCGCATGCAGATTGGTTGATGATCTGTTGTCGTTTTCTTTCACCTCCAAGCGTCGGCTTCCTCACAATCACACACCATATTCGTTGATGATCTTCTGACGGATGCGTTGTTCCTTAAAGTACTTCCAAGCGTCGGCTCCCTCTTTCACACACACACACGCCAAACAAATCAAGCGCTGGCTACGTTCCCTGCTCTGGATCGTGCTTCTTACCTCCGTGCAGTCTATACAGTCGAGTGGGCCGACGGTCTACAGTGGAAGCCCATGCCAAGAGACACCCTGCTTGCCGCGAGGGTGCCCTGGGTGTCTCGGGGTTCGATGGCTCTACGATGGAGGACAGGACGTCCCCGTACCAAAAATCAGTACACATCCTGGGGTCTCAGAGTTGGGGTTCTTGTGGAAGGTCTCTTGTGGTCGAGCTCCTGCTGCACGCCCAAGCCCTAATTATGATCTTCCCACTTTAGCTTCATCACCAGAAAGAGTTTCGAGCACCAAGCAAGTACCGAAAAGTTGAGTTTTCACGCGTCGGGCCCAGGGCGGCGACACTCGTTCGACACTGCTTCGACCCTCTTCGGGGTGCTCGAAATTATTTCGGGGATGTGGTCCTTCATCACGATGGTCGGGGGTGGACCGAACCCCTACCCTGACACGTCGATCATTGAATTGTCTGTTTTCGGTTCTCGAGAGGTCGCCGCGGCCGTCTTTTTCCAGGCTTGCGCCCGCCAGTTTTGGGCCCGAGGTCGTTTTCACGAAACCACGTTTTGCTAAAGGGGACTCTGTCCATCCCCGAGATGGGAGCAACATACAGTCAACCCGCATAATAATGATGGGCATCCTTCCACGGATACCCTTGCTTGCATCCTTGCCTCCTCTGTCCATCCTTGGCCACTTTCGCTGGCCGCACTCCGCTCGAAACGCTTCGAAATGGGCGCCCAAGGCCCTTCGCACACCTACCGCGCATTCTTACTGTATGGTCTGACTGTAGCCCGAGCCCCGTGCTTCAGCTCTCCCTGGGCAGTAGGGGGAGGCAGCCCCCTCCGTGCTCGGCGGCTCTCGCCCTTCGGCCCCGGAGGGGGGGGAGGAGGAGCGGAGGCATATTAACGCTGCATCCTTGGGGAGACCTCGTGCCCGGCGCGGGCCCGATGCGGCTTTGGTGCGGAGTCGACGCGGGTTCGACGTGGATCCGACACGGATCCGACGAGTCCGACGTGGATTCGACACGGATTCGACGCGGCTAGGGCCGCGACGGAACAGACAAGGTCCATTGAGGATGCAACAGAAAGGATAGATTCAGGGGCGGGATGCATCTCGGCCTCCCCGATGGGGTCGGAGCAGATAGGGTCGGGGGACTGCGCCGCATCGCCGATGCATCGGCGATGCGGTGCGATGCGGGATCCGATTTTCTCCACGCCAACGTCGTCAATGCATCGCTGGCGTCGCTGGTGCATCTCCGATGCATCGCCGATGCATCGGCGATGCATCTGCGATGCATTGGCGATGCGGCGCGATCCTCCGACCCATTCTACTCGGACCCCATCTGGGAGGCCTGTAATGCATTGTCCCCGGATCGCCCATGGATCGCCGACAGTTGGGCGTCGCGCAATGGGAGGGGGCGATATGGGGGAAAAGGGACCGAAAGCCCGCCCCGCCCAGCAGCATGCGGATCCGCCATCGGGGGCCTGCCGCCGATCTATCGGCGACGTATCGCCGATTCCAGGTCGATGCTCCCCGCCCTGAGCCGGTCCACCCACCTAACGTTCCCCGTGCAGTGTAGGTCTAGGCAGCACTCCTTGCTCGGAGTAGCGCTCCCGCCCTAGCCGCCCCGGCCGTCTTCTGAGGGACAGCACGGTGGGCGGCGCCATGCCGTCGGGACTCTGGTCCGCCTGCACAGGTATGCATAACTTCAGGGTTGTTCTCCTACATGTGCCCCTCGCACTCGACCAAGCTGTCCGCGCTGGGCGCCCATACAAGTGCGGCACTGTCGCCCATGGACTCCAGGGATCGCTTGCGCTTGAGAGTGAAGCAGCGCTGTTCTCGCATTCTCCCCCCATCCCTCCTCCGAAGCAATTGTGGCTGAAGCCATTCTGTGCAAGGCAAAGTTGCATTCCCGCGCGATCCTTGCTATTGCGGCACTCGCAGCTTTTAGGACCTTGCAGGGTGCAGATCTGCGCCTGCTGACCAGTCGGGAAGATGGGGGAGTTCACGCTCTACAACGCGTGTTTCTTCTTGTACGTCTTCATTGTGCCAGCGTTTCTGCAGTACCTGATACGCGCGCCCTCGACCTTCAGTTCGGCGCCATTCTACCCGGTCCCGCTATCCACGCTGCAGGGGAAGGTGGCGCACGTGAACATGAGCAATCCTCCGCAGACGATGGAGGAGGGGGTCAACCACTGCAAGCCCTGCTACGAGGACCAGTACCACAAGACGGGCATGTACCAGTGGGACATAATGCTCAGGACTGAAGATACAGAAAAGCGCATATATCGGAGGTTGGGGAGTGAGATCGCAGTGAAACGGAGACCCCCCACCGGGAAATCTGTTTCGGTTTCGTGTTCGTGCCGTGCGTGCGGGCGAGGCGAAGCTGCGCGTGATCCTCTTGTAGCTAGGCCGAAGTAGGAGCGAAAGTCCGTTCCCGTCCGCCGGTGGCTGGGAGGTGTCCCAGTTGGGCCGGCCGAGCGGTGTCCTGGGTGTCCCGCGTGTCAGTTGGAGCGAAAATCTGTTTCCCGTCCGCCAGTGGCCGGGAGGTGTCCCAGTTGTCGTGAGCCTTGAGACGAGGGTCAGTGCAAACGGGGGTCAGCCAGGGCGCTGGATCCTGCAGGATCCTGCGAAAACCCCCTCTGGCTGACCCGGGTTAGCGAGCCGCGAGGCGGCCGCGCATATTGGCTGACCCGGGTTTGCGAAGACCTGCGTTGCAGTTTTTCTTTTCTTGCATTGCAGTTTTTGGTTTCTTACTGACCCGGGTGTGGATTGACGCGGGTCAGAAGATCCCCGATGTTGGGCCGGGCGGTGTCCCCGGTGTCCCGGGTGTCCCGGGCGTCCCGGCGCTAACGCATGTCGCTAATTTTATAATTAATTTGTTTCGGCGCCTGCGGCGAGCTTTCTTATCGAATTCAGTTTATCTTATCCAATCCATCTTGTCCAATCCTCCCGGGCGTCCCGGCGCTAACGCATGTCGCTAAATTCATAATTCATTTGTTTCGGCGCTTGTGGCGGGCTTTCTTATCCAATCCAACTGATCGTATCCAATCCATCTTGTCCAATACAATCCGTCTTATCTTATCCAATCCATTTGTCCCATCTTATCTTATCTCACCCAATCAAATCCATCCAACCCAATCCATCAATTCATGTGTTTCTGCGCCTGCGGCGGGCCAGTCCAATTCATCTTTTCTTATCCAATCCATCTCTTCCAATCCAACCCGTCTTATCGTATCCAATCCCCCATCTTAACCAAGGTGACAGGCTGGAGGTCAGTCAGGGTGGGCATTTGATCTCAATCCCCCCCAACCTCCTTATCGCCCGCAGGGCGGTCGTATAGGTATAGACATCCGTTCTCATGCGCTCGCGGATGGTTCCTCGGCCAAAGCTGAATTCCCTTCCCCGTCGCCCTTGGGCCTCGGGCGCCACCCAGGGTTGCGGGGAAGGGTTGTGGCACCGGCGGAGATACCATCCGCGGACGTATATCATACAGTTAAACCGCATAGTAAGGATGGGCAATTTTCCCAAGAGTACCCTTGCTTGCATCCTTGCCAACTCGGTCCATCCTTGGCCACGTTCCTTGGCCAACCTCGTTCGAAGCGCGTTAACATGGCTTTCCAAGGCCCTTTGCATCCTTACCGCGCATCCTTATGATACGAGCTGGCTCTAGAACTCTTGGAAGAGGTTTTGCGCGAGGGGATTTGGAATGCGGCCGTCTGGATCTGTCTGGCGTCTCCGTGTTTACGCCCGGGGTTTGTCGGCGGGCGCCTTTCTGGCCCGTGCGTGGGCTGCCGTGCTGCCCGCCCCTGGGCACCTCGTGTGGCTGGCCTTTGCGCTGGCTGTGCTCCAGATTTTCGGCTGGAGCCCGCCCGTGGGCGCCTCGCGGGCGCCTCGTGCGTTCGCTGACGTGCCCGGATGTTACAGAACAGTTTAAGCTTTATACATATATGTACATACATCTATAGACAGATGTGTGCATACATCTACTTATGCAGCTGTACCAGCCGAAGCCGGTACCTCTCTTGGTTTTGTTATTCGATATGTGTCCGCTCGATCGTTAATCCCAACTATCTGCACATGTAAACAGATGTTGATGCCTAGACATAGATGGTACACATACACACGTATATATATATATATGTATACGCATTTATATATATACATATATACATATATACATATACATACCTATATACATATAGCTATATGTATATATGTGCATACAGATGTGCATGCACATCTGCACGTCATACTCTCAAACCGTAGATACAATGTATATACACACACACACTCCTACATCAAGATATCCTGCATGGACCCCCCCTTGGATGGCCGCCCCACGCCCCTACTTTTTGGACGGTACTCCCCAGCCCTGGGGCATTTATCGGAAGAGCTCCCGGACAGCCGAAACACACATCCCACCGGGGCCCAAGAGGCTCCCAAGTTGGCCCAGGAGGCCCGCAAGGCGCCCTAAGATACCTCCCAAGCCTCCAAGAGGCACACATCACCACATTCCCCGCGGGAGCCGTTCACTTGTAGCATATTCGCTGGTTTGGTCCTTGGAGCGTCCAAGACAACCCAAGTGGCCCCAAATATCGCCCCACGACGACCCGAGATGCCCCCAAGGAGTGCCTCACCCGAGGGCAACACGTCTGACCTGCCGTAGAACACCCCCCAGGAAGGAGGAGGTGCACAAAGAAGAAAAGCTCAGAAGAGGCGAGAGGAGGAGGCACAAACTCAAGCTGTCAGGGGGACGACCCCATTCACACGCAGGGAAACGGGGGGGAGCGACCCCAGCATGGCTGGGGGCATCAATGTCGGGGCGGAGCTCCTTACGCCCTCCCCGATCTCGCCGACGCATCTGCTGCCTTCGCAGTCCGTGCGGCCTGTCCGAGCTGGTTCGCCTTCGCAGACGAAAGCCCATAAACCCATAAAACTTCAACCCCCGATCGGCGTCCATCCGTCGGGCCAGCTCAGGAGCAGGGGCCGAGGAGGAGTCGGGGTCAGGAAGGGACGGGGCCAGGACACTGGACTATTCCTGACGGACACCGGCCGAGGGGTTTGAAACGTTTCGGAGCGAATTGTGTACCCCGTACTTGGGAAACTTACCACTCTGAAACCTAACTACGTGTCCTTTACTGGGCCTCCCGTTGCAAGGCCATGCATCCCTCCACGAGCTGGGGTCTTGTTCGACCCTCTCGCATAGGACCCACAAGCCGTGCAAAGCAGGATAATGCCTTGCAGGTCAGGACCCTGAGACACTTCAGCATGGAGCAAGTCATGGCCCCTGAAATGCCAGACCTCGGGTGAGGCCTCCTGGGGCTCCTCCTCAAGGCCCTGGGCCCCTGGTGGGTCCTCAACAGACGTGGGCTTCACCACGCGGTCCTGATGAGGAATCGGCAGCCCGGGGAGAACCTCGAAGGGAACAGTGGTGAGCCATTCGAGCCCATCATGGTCGGCCCAGCTGCCGCCGCTGATCATCACCTGCTGGGAGGTCGCGAATAGGGCCACCTCTCGAGCCAACGCCAGACACTCCTCAACGACGAGAAGCTGGGCCTGGGGGGCAACGATGGGGACCGGTTCTTAATTTAGCTAAGCGGTCAGCATGTTCACGAATTGCTTTCAGGCGAGAGGAGGAGGAGGAGGAAGAGGAGGATAAGGACGACCACGAGGAGGAGGAGGAGGAGGAGGAGGAGGAGGAGGAGGAGGAGGAGGAGGAGTGGGAGAAGGAGAGAGAGAGAGAGAGAGGAGGAGAAGGAGGAGGAAAAGGAACAGCGAGAACACGAAAGAGAGAGAGAGAGACCAAGAGAGACGAGAAGATAAGAAACAGCAGAGGAAGTGAGGTGTAGGATCTATGGGGGGCATCTGTGCATACATATATATATGTATATATATATATATATATATATATGCATAGACAGCTGTCTGCGGCAAGTCCTGTCACCGTGCCAGATCAGGAAACTGGGTAACAATTTACTGAGGGGGCACAGGAGGCCATCATGTGAGACACCTCGTGTCCCCGGGCTTGGGGGAGCCGTGATGATGATGATGATGATGATGGTGATGGTGATGATGGTGGTGATGATGATGATGATCATGATGATGTTGTTGTGGATTAGGAGGATGATGATGTTGATGCTGATGATGATGGTGATGCTGCTGCTGATGGTGATGATGATGCTGATGCTGATGCTGATGTTGCTGCTGATGACGCTGCTGATGAAGATGATGATGATGCTGCTGATGATGATGATGATGATGATGTTGATGGTGATGGTGATGATGGTGGTGGTGGTGATGGTGGTGATGGCGGTGGTAAAGATGATCATGAATATACAAGAGGAGAATGAGGATGCATATGAGGATGATGAGCATGCAGATGCGAAGGAGGAGGAGCAGGATGAGGAGGAGGGGGAGGAGGAGGAGCAGGAGGCGCAGGAGGAAGAGAAAAAGGAAGGCCGTCACGTGACACCTTTCGTCTTTACTAGGTGAGGAGCCCTGATGGAACTCGTTGGCCCGTCATGTGGCTGTATTGGCCTCTTGTGAGACAGTCTTGCGGGCCCCCGGTGCAATTCCGAGCTTGAGCAAGCCTGAGCATGAGTGAGTGAGTCCAGCAGGGTAGCAGATGTTTCATATTTGTTCCATATTCCATGGTGTTGTATAGCTTCAGTTTGTGATTGCATTTGTGGTTTTACGTATGCGTTTTGCCTGCTATCGTCTCGGCTCTAGCGCCCCCTCGCTTGTGCTCGGAGGCACGGGAGTTTAGACGCCCTGTGAGCAGGGCACGAACTTCAGGAGTTCAGAAAAAAGGATCAGACATCAATACCGCTGCGCATTTTCCGCCGACTACTTGCATGGTAGCGGAGCACGTGGTTGACACGGAGAGGGACTACGATGACCGAGGATCATCGAGGCAAGGTGCCAAGCTGGGATGGGGATCCCAAGACTTGGCGGAAGTACAGGCGGAAGGCCCTCCAGTACCAGGAGGGCACCAAGAGGGAGGACCGGTACCTGTGCGGCCCGCGGCTGGAGGCGAAGCTCACGGGCCGGGCCGAGATCGCGGTCGAGCGCTGCAAGGCCGGGTGGCTCTCCAGGCCAGATGGCGTGGAGCGGCTCCTGGCGTGGCTGGAGCGCAGATGCTCTCGACAGGCCGTGCCAGATGTCGGCCAGGAGCTCGAGACGTTTTTGATCAAGACGAAGCGCCGCAAGCTCGAGCCAATGCAGTAGTGGACAGACCGCTTCGAGACAGGGTACCAGTACCTCAGGCGTGCGCTGGCACGCGCGCTGGGACACACAGTCCCGGTCCAGGTCGCCCCAGCATGGAAGTGGACAGGGCGACCATACCGATGGATCGAGGTCGAACGTGGCTGGCCATTCGAGGGTAGCGAATGGACGTGGGACTACACGGACGGCCTGCCAGACGATGAGAAAGAGGACTCACACCACTGGAGCGCTGCTGACCAGGATGCGGACGCAGAGGAGGAGCTCGGGGACATGCCGGAAGTGTTCCCGACCCTGGTCCTGGGCTGGCTGATGCTCGCGCGGTCGGGGCTCGACTCGCGCGGGAGGGCGGCCATCATGACGGCGACGGGCGGCTCGCTGGGGGTCAACACCATCCGGGAGAAGCTGATCTCGAGCTGGGAGGACGACGACCTGGCGGAGCGTGATGGGCACTCAAGGTTCCCGAAGGCGTACACAGCCCAGCTTGGAGAAGATGATCGCACATGGCTTGACGGAGATGAAGCACTAGATGCAAGCAGCTTCGCAGCCGACATGGAGAACAGCGAGTGGCAGGAGGAAGAACCAGGCCCAGAGGAGGCGAACGATGACGACAACGAGAACTACTTGGCGGCTCAGCAGGAGGAGGCGGAGGCGCTCGCGGCGATCCACACCGCCCAGCGTACCCTCCGCCAGGCTCGTGAAGCTCAGGCAGACAGCAGGCTGAGCAGGGGCTTCTACAAGGGAGGACGGCCAGCACAAAAGGGGTCAGGCAAGGGGTTCCCAGCGGGATCACGCCGACCACTTCCTCCCCAGGTAGGAGGTAGAGGCAAGATCTTGCCACCAAACAAGGGGCAGAAGAAGTGCGCGAAGTGTGGAGGACCCCACTGGGCTCAGGACTGCCAGGACCGTCATGACCCACGTCTACGGCCGGGAGCTGCAGGCACTCCAGAGGCGAGCGCGAAGGTAGCAGAGTGCAGGAAGGAGCTGGTCGCCGAGCAGGAGCCCCTGGACTCGAATTGCGAGGCGATGTTTGCGGACCAGGCCATCCTCGAGGGCAACGGCATCGTCGACTTAGGGTGCACGGACGCCATGGGTGGCGAGCGCGCCCTGGACATCGTGGCCCGCAAGAACTTGGAGAAGTATGGCGACGCCAGGCTGCTGGACGTGAATCTGGGCTACAGGCCAGTCTACAGCTTCGGGAATGGCGAGAAGGAGCGCGCCTACGGACAGGTGAAGTTCGGCATCACGGGCGCGGGCGTGGAAGGCGACATCGCCATCAACGGTTTCTCGAAGGATGTCCCGACCCTGGTGTCCAAGAAGGTGTTGAAGAAGCTCGGCGCCGTCGTGGACTGCGAGACTGGGGTGGCCGTGTTCGTGAAGCTCGCGCCGGACATCCCCGTGCAGCTGGAGGAGTCGCCGGATGGGGGACACTACTACCTGAGCCTGGTTGACGACTTGCTGGAGCAGCGCGTCAAGGACCAGAACCAGCTGCGGAATGTCAAGACCATCTGCGAGATCATGCGTGAGTGGGATTGCCAGCCCGTGGCCGCAGTGCGCCAGGGGCCGGACAGCAGCTCGGATGACCGGGCTGAGCAGTCGGAGCGCCACATGTATCCATCTCAATCCGATCACAGCGTTGTCACCGATGCGTCTCCAGTCGCTTCAGCAGGTGCGTGCAGAGGCCAGTCGTGTGGCCAGGCTTGCGGCATTCATCACCACAGTCGGCCACGGCCTCAGAGGGGTCCCGCAGTCGAAGGTAGTGGCCGTCACAGTGTACAGTCTCAGTCCCACGTGGGCCGGGTACCCCAGGTGAACCAGGGGGCCCAGCTGCAGAACCATAGCCGTTCGGGCTCGAGCCAGGCAAGTTCACTCGAGTCGACAGCGACCGACGGCATCCAGACGCCCGCAGTTCCAGATCCACCAGATCTTCCATATCCTCCATATTCCAGGCCGAAGGCCGTCGATGTCAGCATCGGGATGCGCCGGGGTAACATCATCCGCGGGGCGGCCCAGCTCACCTGCGCCAGGGTCGCGTGCTCGTGCGGCGCGGCCACTCCAGATGCCAGCGTTTCGCAGTGCAGTGCAGGGCCTCTACCAAGCGGAGGTGCTGCATCTACTCCAGGAGCTCGGCCTGCCGCGCAGTCCGGCATGGGGCGTGGACGAGCTGAAGCAGGCCCTCAAGGAGCACATGTTTCCGGTGAACGAGACGCCAGTGCAGATGGCCATGAAGGGTCTCAGCTCGATGAAGAAGTCCCAGCTCTTGGCGAAGGCAGAGGAGGTAGGTGCCCACGTGACACAGGGCATGACGAATCCGTCGCTCAAGCTCTCGATCCGCAAGGCCATCCTCATGAAGCGCACCCCGGAGCCGACCGACTACCTGGGCTTCGGGAAGCACGGAGCCATGACCTACCAGCAGGTTCGGAGCCAGTACCCGTCCTACGCAGCCTGGTGCCAGAAGGGGGCGAACCAGGAGAGCAGCTGGGAGCTGGCCCGGTTTGCCTCGTGGCTCAACGAGCAGGAAATCATCGACGAGAAGGCGGGGGTGACCAGGGATCCGAAGGAGGTCCCGAGGGAGCCGGACAAGGCCCGAGGGGGCGCGAGGTCATCCCGCAGAAGAACGGTAGACGCGATCATGGAGGACGAGATCGAGGAGCAGAAGAAGCTCGAGGCTGCGATCAAGGTGCAGAAGGAGGAGAAGGAGTCCAACCGCTTGGTCCAGGAGCAGATGCTGGCGGCGCTGAACCAGCTCAACCAGAGGATCGGCCAGCTGGAGGGCCAAGCGAGCTCAGCCAGTTCCAACGCCGGGAGCTTCGTGCAAGTGGGTTCCAGTCCGAGTGGTCTGGAAGAGGTTTGAACTGCACGAAGGAGCTGGACCCCAGGAAGCAGCGCTGGCTTGCCAAGTGCATCCAGGAGAGCGGCCGAAGACTATGAGGCGCTGATGGCCCACGGCGGTACCAAGCTGATGGAGGTCGCGTGCAGCCCGACGTCCATCCTGAGCACGAAGATGGCAGAGAAGTTCGGCAAGGACGCTGTATGCCGCGTCAGTGCGTGGAACGGTTTCAAACTGGGGACCCCTGGCGGCAACCAGAGGGCTCGGGAGGCACGTGATGAGGCCGAACCAGACCACCTTTGGATCAGTACGAGGTGTGGCCCCCTGTCGAACCTCACCCTCGGCTTCGACGGCTCCAACCCAATCAGGGCCGAGGCCACCGGGAAGCGCAGGTTGCAGGCCATCAAGGAGTACAAGGGCGCGGTGCAGCTGGTGTACGACCAGGTGGCTCAAGGCAAGCATGTACACTGGGAGTGGCCCATCAAGTGCGAGGGCTGGGGCCGCACGATGATCAGGAAGATGGTGGAGGACTGCTCCATGACTGTGGTGAAGGTGGCAGGCTGCCAGCTCGGCGTGAAGGACGGGAAGGGCCTACCGCTGTTGAAAGAGTGGCTGATCGCTACGACGTCTCCAAAGATGGCAGCCCGGATTTCCCTGGAGTGCCCAGGAGATCACCGACATGCTTACAGCGGCCACCAGCTATTACCCGGACGAGTTTGCCAGACGAGCTGTTCGCGCGATGACCGAGAAGGCCGCGCCCGACTACCACGAGTTCATGAGGTGTTTGGTAGAGCCTGGGGAGGCGGCCGACCAGGCGATGGTGGCCAACCAAGTGGAGACAGAGATTCACTCGGACGTGAGCTCGAAGGAGTACCAGCAGATCATGAGGTGGCTCACCTCGATCCACCGTGGCTCAGGTCACAGCTCGAAGGCCTCCATGCTGAACGCACTTCGGAGGAAGGGCGCCAGCCGACAGGTGCTACAGGTGGCTGAGGACTTCCACTGCGACACTTGTGAGGAGGCGAACAAGTTCAAGCCCGCACATCCGTCCGTCAACTTAGAGGCCATCCCGCCGAAGTGGAAGCGCATCCAGGCGGACCAGTTTGAATGGGAGCACCCGCAGACGAAGGTCAAGTCCAAGATCTCCCTGATCATAGACGAGAACTGCCGGGTGCGCGTCAGCAAGCTACTGTACCACATGGTTGGCGAGGACCGGCACAGGAATCCTGTGCGGGCCGACCTCAAGCAGTTCTACGAGGAGCGCTGGATGCCCTACTTCGGCAAGCCACAGAGGGTGGAAGTGGACCCAGAGGGATCCTGGATGTCCAAGCAGGCGGCTGGGTACTTTGATTCCGACTCCATCGCGTACGAACCCATACCTGGCCAGGCCCATTGGCACATCTCCCTCGCCGAGGGGGCCATCCAGGCCACCAAGGGGACCATGGACAAGTTGGTGGCGGAGAACCCCGAGATGACGACGGAGGAAGCCCTGGCCAGAGCGACCGCAGCTGGGAACTCACGTGAAGATGTTCGAGGACACTCACCCCTTCAACATGCCCTCGGGCGAGCACCAGACCTGGACGGACACTTCTTTGAGAGCGACTTCGACGAACTGCCCTACGTGGAAGCCCAGAGGGTCGACAAGGAGTTCGGGGAGAACTACACGAGAATGCATGCGGCCGAGCAGGAGTACCTGAGGCAAGTCTACATGCGACGCATCAGCAGGTCAGAGAACGCGAAGAATCAGGCGGTGAAGTCCGTGGTGCCAGGCATGTGGGTGCGCTACTTCCGGAAGGAGAAAGGTGAAGCTAAGGGCCGATTCAAGGGGCTCGCGAGGGCCCTGGCCACAGAGACGGCGCGGCCGGTGGACGGGGACCTCAGCGAAGGACAGGCCCTACACCCTGGGCGAAGGACAGGCCCTACACCCTGGGTGTGGCTGGTACGAGCCGTGCGTATCATCAAGGTGGACCTCTGCCAGATCCGGGCAGCCTCCTCACGGGAGATCGCCTACGCAGAGCTGATGGGAGGCAAAGACGCGCCCTGGACAGTCCACATCTTCATGAACCAGACGATGAAGCACGAATACCTGGACTTCACTGGCCACGACCCCACTGAGGACGACATGGAGATCTCGACCTGGGAGGGGCTACCTGAACCAGCCCCCCCATTGAAGAAGGCCCGCACAGAACAAGCCACAGAGGAAAGCCAGGCCTCAAGGAGCCGTTCAACACCACCAGTGCGGAAGAAAATACTCAAGAAAGGACACCACCCAGGAGGAACAGCCGACCAAGTCCGAGCGTCTCGAGCAGCCCTGGCAGAGGAGCAGATGAAGGAGAACATGGCCTTCATGGCGAAGTCCACTCCAGACGCCAGAGCCTTTCGGGCTCGTCAAGGCACGTCACTGGAGGTCTCCGTTGAGGTTCCCCTGGAGGGCAAGCCGCTCAAGCAGGCCACGAGACACATGAGTACCTACATGGCGAGCCAGCTGCGAAAAGGCAAGCGCGAGATCTCGGAGAGGACATTGACCCTGGACGAGGTGGCGAAGTTTGGCCAAGCAAAGGCCACGGAGGTGAACAACTACATCGTGTCTTCGGTGCTGGAGACGCCCCCACCAGGAGTGACCCCGCCTCCCGAGGACATCATGCGCATGAGATGGGTCCTCGAGTGGAAGATGGACGAGAACACGGGCGAGAAGAAGCCGAAGGCGAGGATTGTGGTCCTGGGTTACATGGGCCCCGAGTACGAGCACCGTCCGACCACCGCTCCAACCATGACGAGAACTTCGAGGCACCTGGTGCTGCAGACGATGGCGTGGTTGGGCTTCAAGGGCTACAAAGCGCACGTGACGGGGGCCTTCACGCAGAACAGAGAGATCCAGCATGACCTGTTCGTGATTCCTGTGAAGGAGCTCGCGGCGGCACTGGGGATGCCCGAGGGCGTCGCGATGCGGCTCAGGAAGGCGGTCTACGGGCTCGTGGAAGCAGCGATCGAGTGGTTCATGACCGTGAGCGAGGCACTGGAGGAGTTCGGTTGGACCCAGATGAAGATGGACCCCTGCGTGTGGGTGCTCTACGGTGACGCTCCCGGCAAGGATAACGGCTTCACCAAGGAGGCGCTGAAGGACTTCACGAACCCAGAGGTGCTCGGGGACCTGATCGCGGCGAAGGGGGACATGGACATCATAGCCATTGCGGGGTCGAACGTGGACGACTTCCTGCTCGGTGGCAACGACGCGGACCCCAGGTGGATCACTGCCCGGGAACAGATCGAGAAGCGCTTCAAGTTGAAAGCCTGGGAGTCGGAGGAGTTCATGCAGACGGGGGTGCGGATCAAGCAGCAGCCCGACAGGAGCTTCCGCATGGACCAGAGCGAGTATGCGAAGACCATCGAGAAGGCATACCTCACCCCGGAGCGCAAGAAGGCCAAGGACATGCCGACCACCGACAAAGAGAAGGGCCAGCTGAGGGCTATCTTAGGAGCCATCGGGTGGAGGTCAGAGCAGTCAGACCCTACGCACTCTGCCGACACAAGCCTCCTGCTCAGCACCATGCCCTCGTCCACCGTGCAGACCATCAACGAGACCAACCGCTTGGTCGATCGTGTTCGTGAGTGCGCTGATCTACCTGTGGTGATGCACGGCCACTCTCGGGCGCAGGTGCTGGTGCCGGTGGAGTGGTCCGACTCCTCCGAGGCCAACCGCCCCGACGGAAAGTCAACGAAGGGCCTGGTGGCAGGGCTGGCACCTCTGAAGATCCTCAAGGGCGACGAGGCGGACGTGAGCCTCATATCCTGGAAGTCCGGGAAGATCGATCGTGGTTGCCGCAGCTCCGTGGCATGTGAGACGCGCTCCGCCGAGGATGCTGAGGACGAGCTGTTTGGCATCAAGCTGCAGTGGCTGGAGATCCTGGGCAACAACGTCGACTGGAGGAACCCCGAGGGGATTCTACGCAGACTGCCAGGAGCAGTGGTTGTGGATTCAAAGGGCCTGCACGACAAGCTGCAGACGACATTCTACACCTTCCGGGGCAGGGAGAAGCGAACCGACGTGGAGGCCATGACCCTGAAGGAGGGGACGCAGGCTGCGAACAACTGGATGCTCTGGGTGCATGGGGATGCCCAGCTCGCCAACTCGCTGACGAAGGGACACGAGCCAGGCCAGCTGCGGATGTATTTCAACAACGGGCACCGCTGGAAGCTGGTCTACGACGAGAAGTACCAGAGTGCACGGAGGAGGAAGGCAGCTGGAATCCAGCCGTTCGAGCACGCAGGAGCGGGCATTCTCAAGACGCCAGGCGGGACAATGGCTCACATCAGTGCAGCTGCGTGCCCGGACTCCCCGCCATATGAGACCATGGCCGAGTGCAGTTCAGAGGAGGAGGCGGACTCAAGGATGCTCAGCTTGGAGGACCCTTATCCGTGCAATTCCGAGGTTGAGCAAGCCTGAGCATGAGTGAGTGAGTCCAGCAGGGTAGCAGATGTTTCATATTTGTTCCATATCCCATGGTGTTGTATAGCTTCAGTTTGTGATTGAATTTGTGGTTTTACGTATGCGTTTTGCCTGCTATCGTCTCGGCTCTAGCGCCCCTTCGCTTGTGCTCGGAGGCACGGGAGTTTAGACGCCCTGTGAGCAGGGCACGAACTTCAGGAGTTCAGAAAAAGGATCAGAGATCAATACCGCTGCGCAATTTCCGCCGACTACTTGCACCCGGGGGGGGGGGGAGCGCCAGAAGCTCGAAAAGGCGAGAACCCGACAGCATTGAAAAACCATAGGGGATGATTTGTACGTATTTGGGCCTTCTTGGGGGCCTCTTTGGGCCCTCTCGACGCCTCCCGGGCGCCCTTTGGGGCGGAAGGCTCGAATCGTCGGTCCGTGCTGCCCCTCTTGGAGCCGTTTCGGAGTCTCCCTTGGGCAGTTTTGGGAGCCTCTTGGACCGTCTTGGAGCCCTCTTGGGCCATCTTGCGTGCCTCTTTGGCCGTCTTGGGGTTCTCTTGGGGGCCTCTTGGAGCGGACGGCTCGAATTGTCGGTCCGTGCTGCCCCTCTTGGAGCCGTTTCGGGGCACCCATTGGGCGGACTTGGGAGACTCTTGGGCCGTCTTGAGGCTCTCTTGTGCCCTCTTGCGTGCCTCTTTGGCCGTCTTGGGGTTCTCTTGGGGGCCTCTTATGCCGCGGGATGTCGAGAGATCGAAAAGGCGAGAGACCCCAAAACATTGAAAACCGAGGGGGCATCGCTGTTGTTGGTCTCTCGAGGCCCTCTCGGGGAGGCTCTTGGGGCCTTCTTTGGAAGTCTCGAAGGCCTCTTGGGCCGTCTTGGGGCAATGTTGGGCCGTCCTGAGGCCGAAGTGGGCCGTCTTGGAGCAATATCTGGCCGTCATGGAGGCGGCTGCGCCCCGGGAGGGAGAATCTGTATTTTGCAAGGCTGTGCGGCCTCGGAGCAAGGGGGCGATGCGCGCGGCCCAGCAGTGCTGGCAGAGGGGTTGACGGCCCCTGAAAGATAACAGAGACCCTACAAGACAGTACTTGGCATCCTTGCACGCCCCAGCGTGCCAGGAGGCACCGTGGCGAATCTTGCTCCACCGGGAGTGCAAGATCCTAGCTTTTTGGCCCATGGTGGCACGCATGATATGCGTTGTCCTGTTTCTCAGGATGTCCTACAACGACCTGATGGTCCAGGACAAGGAGCACCCGGTGACCACTATGTATCCAGTCATTCTCGCGTCGAACGACTTCAAGAGATGGCATGTGGTTGCAGATGCGGACGACGTGCAGGGAGATAGCAATTCCAACGCCACCACCATGCAGGAGCTAGCGCACCTCGCCCCACCGCTGCTCGTGGCCAACCTGAAGCCGTTCGGTTGCGTGAACAACGAGACCGGCACCACAGACCCGTTCATGTGGTTCTTCGCTTCTGCTGAGAAGGCAAACCGGTACAAGTGGAGGCTCGTCGACCACATCTCGACTCACGGCTCCGTCAACCTCGTTGCCTGCGTGATGCAGGGGTTCGACAAGGTGAACGCGTTGATCACCTACTACGCCCAGAATTGCATCACCGCCTCGGGCAAGATGCAGTGCGTGCGGACTCCCCGGGAGGCGCTGGGGCAGTGCTACGCGCTCGGCTCCGCGTGCGGTCAGGCCTGCGGCTTCTTCTCCCCGAACCTCCAGCACTGCAACGAGGGCCACATCGACCCGTACTTTTTCCAGGGCCTCACGTCCAAGAGGGTGAGCATCAAGACGGCATCGGGTGGAGGCGCCTCGAACGCGCTGGTGAATTGCAACGAGGACGGCTGCAAATCGGGCCTCAGCTTCGAGGGCATGTACGCGGAGGCTGACAACCCCAACGACTTCGTGATCGAGTCTGGGGACCAGGAACTGGCGGACTTCTACACGCTCCTGTTCGCCATGTCCGATGTCGAAGCCGAAGCCGAAGCCGCAAAGCCTGGTGATGCGGCGGAGGATGCGGAGGAGGACGCCCCGGCGGACGAAGACGGCCTGGACGAGATGGTCGACAGGAGGCTCCAGGTTCGGCGGCGAGCGAGGGGGGGAGATGAGAAGGCTCAGAAGTCCCCAGGCCTTCTGAGAAGTTTTCTAAGCCTTTCCCGAAGATGCAAAAACTCCTGAGAAGGCGCGAGGACGTCTGAGAAGTCGCGCGGCCTTCTGAGAAGGCCTTCTCCTTCTCACTTCCCCCACTCGCTCGCCGCCGACAGGCCGCCAACAGCAAGTACCTCTGGCAGATCGCGCACGTGCCCAATCTGACGATGGGCGTCTTCAAAGACCACAGCTCGAACACCATGCGTATCGAGCCCACGAGGTGACCTTTCTTTATTTAGTGTTGCCAGGCCTCTTCGATGGGATCGGAGTAGATGGGGTCGGAGGATCGCGCCGCATCGCCGATGCATCGCCGATGCATCGCCGATGCGGCTCGATGTGGAGCCCGATTTGCTTCACGTCGACGTCGCAGATGCATCGCCGACGTCGACGATGCATCACAGGTGCCTCGCCGATACATCGCCGATGCTTCGCCGATTTATTGGCGATGCGGCGCGATCCTCCGACCCCGTCTACTCCGACCCCAGTTAAGAGGCCTCTAGTGTTTTGCCGATCGGCGCGGGCCCTCGCCCCCCCCCCCACACGGAGTAGATCTTGGCTGTTTCCTGCGCCTGTTTCAAGCAGGTGGGGCCTTCCCCATAGGACGCACTGTTGCAAACAGTCGCGCTGAGCAGAGGTCCGGAGCCAGGACCCCCCCCCTCCAGCCCCCCTTTCCGCCCACTGCCAAGACGCCGAATCAGAAAACGCTCACGAGGGAGTCCTGCTTCACGCAGCCGGGGTTCACCTACATGGTGGCTTGCATGACGGCCAAGCCCGTCTTCACCGCCGGAAACCGGGAGGACAGGATTCGAGCCAAACGGTGTTCTGGCAATTTCGTGGACGGGTCTCGTTTTGATGATGCTTCGCAGCCAAGGCAGAGCGAAGACAGAACGCAGGAAAAAGCGAAAACAAAACGAACACGACGAACACTGTTCAGCTCGAGCCCTGCGGGAGGACATCGCGGGCCCGCCCTTCAACGACCGCTGCGTGGCGGTGGGCGGCCTGTGCGGCGCGGCCTGCGGCTCGGGGCAGACGCTGGACGAGGACGCCACGAAGTACTGCCCGCAGCCCAGCGGCGGGCCGGACGGTCGCCGCCTGGACGGCTCACCGGGATTCGAGAGACGTGGGGGGGGGACCCGAGGGCTCCCGGGCCGCTCCGCGGCCGCTTCCTCCTCCTCCTCCTCCTGCTCCTCCTCCTGCTCCTCCTCCTCCCCCTCCTCCTCCTCCTCCTCCCCCTCCTCCCCCTCCTTCTCCTCCCCCTCCTCCTCCTCCCCTCGTCCTCCTCCTCCTCCTCCTCCTCCTCCTCCTCCTCCTCCTCCTCCTCCCCTGGTGGACAGAACCCCACCTCGACGCGTCGATTAGTGAGTTGTCCGTTTTTGGTTCTCGAGAGGGCGCCGCGGCCGTCATTTGCCAGGCCTGCGCCCGCCAGGTTTGGGCCCGAGGTCGTTTTCCCTTGGACCACGTTTTGCTAAATGGGGGCTTTGTCCATCCCCGAGAGACCGGGGTCAATGCAAACGGGGGTCAGCCAGAGCGCCTGATCTTGCAGGATCCTGCAGGACCAGGGTCGCATTGACCCAGGTTTGGGCGCAGCATCCTGCAGGATCTTGCAGGAGCCTGCAAGGCCTGACCGACCCGGGTCTAGATTGACCCGGGTCAGTGGACCCCCGAGGCTCGCTCGATTACTCGCCGTACGCCTCCACGGTCATTCCGATGGAGCACCTCGTGAGCCGCATCGAGCCCCGGAGGTCGGCGACGACCAAGTCGACGGCGGCCAGCTTCTTCTTCCACAGCTTCATCTTCTTCGTGGCCGTCTCGTACGTGGCCACGATCCTCAGCAAGTTCCCGGGCAATTTCAGCGACTTCTACCCGATGCACACGTGGGACGAGCTCCGGACGCACGGCTACATCCTCGAGAAGTTCGGGTGCGCCGCCGCTTTCGGCATCTCCGCGGGCGAGAACAAGATGATCGTGCTCAGGAATTGGCTCGGCAAGATCTCCGCGAGGCTCAGGGTTGGCGTTTCGGGGGGGTCGGCTCAGGGGGGGAAACATCGGTCCCCAATGGCACATTTATCGCCGACAGGGCCTCATGACTGGCCCGCTCCGCCCAGGAGCGTGCGGTTGCGCGATCAGGGACATGTCGCCGATCTATCGGCGATGCATTGCCGATTTCAGTTCGAAGTTCCCCCGCTCTGAGCCGGACCCACTGATCGTTAAGTCGGGCCTGTCCCTCTACAGGAGGAATATTCAAAAATGATGCAAAATTGATCAGGGGACAATGTTCCTAGTATTTTTTCTGGAGTTTTGTTTATTTTTCATTTTTCTTCCAGAATCCGCCTGTGGGAGGCCATGCCCGACCTAACCTTACATATTGCCCCTCAGAGGCCAGAGTTCGAGGACAGAGCCTTCCCGACCTTCAGGAGGTGGGTGGACGCGTTTGCTGACGAGGGGCACCGCGAGGGCGCCCGCCTGCTGTGGCTGGCCTGGGCCGACTTCCTGGACACGAATCCGCCGGTGGAGTTCCTGGAGGAGCTCGAAGACGAAGCCCCAATGCTAGATAGCAGATCACTCAGGGGAGGAAAGGGTACCCATCCATACCGCTATCCTTCGCCTGTCTTCCCCTGTTCGGGCCTGCGGGCGGCCCTCGGCGCCACCGCTGGATTCGCCCCGAAATCCTGGTCAGAACGCACCCGGAGAGAGGTCAGGGGAGAAGAGGTATCGGTACCTTTTGGTTTCCCCAATCACGGGAGTTTCCGCTTGTCTTAGCTTGAACGGATATCGGCGCATAGCGCCTTCATCAGCGCTTAGTGGAGCCGAGAAGCGCCCAGTGGCGCCGAGTAGCGCCCAGCAGCGACTAAAAGCCCCCAGCGGTGCCATGCGAGTGGGGTTAATTAGGTCCGCTTTGCGACCGAATTGGCGCGTTATCGGGCACCATGGGAACGACCAACATATTCCATCAGTTGCGTCCTAACCAGTGGTCCTGCGGAGGCTTCTAGAGACCTCGAAGAAAGGGCAAGCAACAACAAACGAACAGCAAGTTCATGCAACTCACACTCTCAAACACGGAGGAGGAGGAGGAGGAGGAGGAGGAGGAGGAGGAGGAGGAGATGGCCGCACCCGTGCGGGATCAAAGGCCAACAGCTCGAGCTCGGCGAGGACGGGCTCCGCCAGAAAGGCCCAGCGCAAATCCAAGAAATCAGCGCGGAGCCCCGAACTGTTCTGTTGGTAGCGCCTTGTTTTCTTTTTCTTCCTCTTCCAGGAGTGGTCCGAGAGCCTGCGGGAGCAGTCGTGGGAGCAGGCTCGGCGGCGGGCCAGGGGGGTAAGTGAGAAGGAGAAAGCCTTCTCAGAAGGCGGCGGGGCTTCTCAGAAGCCCTCGCGCCTTCTGAGGAGCTTTATGTGCCTATGGGGAAGGCTCACACAATTCCCCGGAAGTCCTGGGGACTGCCGAGTCTTCCGAGACGGCCTTCTCCTCCTCACTGCCCCCCTGGGCTCGCCGCCGAGAGGCGCACTCGCTGTCCCCCTTCGAGCTGGCCTGGGGGGACCGGCGCGTGCTGCCAGTGATCCACAGCCAGGCGCAGGCGTTTGTGGGGCAGGCGCACCAGGCCGCCGTCGAGGGCGGGGTGGAGCTGCAGCAGGACTCGCTTGCGAGGCTGCGGGACCTGGCAGACCTCTACAGGCAGCTGCCGAGCGACATGAGGATGTCGGGGAGAGCGTCTCGAGGGAGGAAAAGGTGGCACCAATGCCGCTGCCCTTCCCTCGTTTTCGCCTCGTCGGGCCTCTTGGGAGGCCCTTGTCGCCACCGCTGCGTTCGCATCGAAATTCTGGTCGGAACGCACCCTGGGAGAGGTCTGGGGAGTGGCGGTATCGGTACCTTTTGGTTTCCCCAGGCAACGTCGGGGGAACTAAGTTTTGATGTTTAAGGTCTTCGGGCGCGTCCATGGGGTCCTGGGGGCTTTCCAGTCTCGGGATGTGCTTCAGCAGCTGCGCCTCGCCGAGGGCGTTGTGGGGGTGCCCGGATGGTCCCGAACGACCCCCGCAGCGCCGACTTCTGACCCGAAAGCCGAGATCGGTTAATGAAAACGTCAGGGGGGATGAGCTCAGAGGTGGACGCATCGACCCCGAATCGCCCATTGATCGCCGATAGGGGCCTGGTAGAGCCCGTCCTGCCCGGGAACGTGCGGGTTGGCTATCGGGGGCCTATCGCCGACCTATCGGCGACGTATCGCCGATTCCAGCTTGATGCTTCGCTGCCACCCCCACCCTCGTTAACCATCAGGATGGAGCAGTCCCTGAGCAAGAAGGACGACTGTGTCCTGACCCGGGAGGTCAACCTGTCCTTGAAGTCGGAGTCGGCCAAGAAGAGGGGCCAGAGTTGCTACACGATCAAGTACGGCCAGGCATGGATGAAGGAGATGGACACGAAGTTTCAGGAGCGGAAGACCGCGACGAGTGCATCGTCCATAGACAGCTACAAGAAGCACCTGGCTATCATGGACGCCAAGGGCCGCGCGGTCAAGCTGGTGGAGCTAGTCAAGACCCTACCAGAGGCGCACTTCCCCCTCCATTTCCGGGAGATGCCTGCGCACAGGGACCGGAAGGTGATCATGATCTACATGGCGCGTGCACGGCCTGAGACGGAGCGCAAGGGCATCGAGAAGACGCGCGGGTTGGACAAGTACCTGTGGGCTTGCCTCAAGCCTAGCGCTGTGCGGCCGTACCCTGGAGACGACGGCGCCCGCAAGCAGTTCAGGCGCCGCAAGGTCGACGGCAAGGAGTCCGAGCCCCTCTTGGGCGGCGGGGCGGCCCAGCCGCCGAAGGGCATCCACGACGAGGTTCGCAGGTGCGTCCAGGACGTCCTGGCGCGCCAGCACAAGAAGTTCCTCGAGTCCCTGGAGGAGCCCGCCACCTCGCAGCAGCAGAAGATGCGCGGGCACAGGGAGCTGGCCGAGGAGTACCTGAAGTACCGCGTGGTGGATTCGGACTGGGAGCTCGGCCGCTGGTGCTACGGCGAGATCGTCGGCGAGGACCAGGACGTCCATGGCGACGACGTGCTGGTCCTGGACAACCCCTCCTCCGCGCTGCTGGAACTGGTCACCACCTGCGAGGGCGCGAAGAAGGCCGGCATGGGGCTGGTGGCCATGGAGAGCGTCGAGGAGGTGGCTTGCCGCTGCCTCGTGCGCAGCTCAATGCGCGTGGCCATGGCAACCAACCCCAGCCTGGAGTTCCTCTTCTCCGCGTACGACGAAGACGATCGGGCGGCGTACAATCCGCAGGCGTTCGAGAGGGCGTTTCGCGAGAACCTGCGAGGGCTCCTCAGTGACCAGGTGGCGAAGTTGTTGCCGAAGTGCACAATCACCCAGTATCAGCAGGGAGTAGACCTCTCCGTGGAGATCAACGGGGACGGCAAGATCATCGAGGAGATCCGCGCCCGTTTGGACTCGAGCCTGTCCGTGATGAACTTCGATGGCCGCCTGATGGACAGCCACCCCACAGTCCTCGTCAAGAGGAACCTGCTCATGCCGTACATCGGCGTGCGCGGGAAGGGCGGCGGTCTCAATTTCGCGGTCGATCTCCTGCAATTCCGTGACGGCTTCATCGGCACAGGGATTGAGCAGGATCCTATCCCAGGGCGCATGCTCTTCGGCATCTTCGACGCTCGTCACCAGCCGCACGCGGACTTCTGGCGCATGGTACTGCCCAAGTTTGTGCAGAACACCAGCGTTGGCTTTACCTACGAGGTCAACACAGAAATCGCGATGGTGCAGGCTCCCCAGCACTTCGCCCACCTGAAGGCGGAGGACGACGTCCTAGATGTTCTCAACGGTGCCGCGTTCAACATCATGAACGTCATCCGGAACAGGTGCGGCGGGGTGACGTCATGCGGGACCAACGCCGTGTGGCAGATCGACGCGGTCGACTTCAGTAGGCAGACTGACGAGTCCGTGAACTTCGAGTATTTCGAGTCGCGCACCAAGATCGAGGACACGGCCACCTCTCACCAGCACTTCTGCAAGGGCAAGCGCAGCGTGTACGTGCAGGAGACGGTCTGCACCGGCATCGCCAAGGTGAACGCGGACTACCTCGGCGCCGTGCAGCGTTGGGCCGAGGGCGCGGTTCAGCTCTTCTGGGTGCAGTTGTTCTTGGACCGCACTCCGCAGTTGGTCATCTTCGGCTGGTGCGTCCTGGCGTACTTCGGCATCGTCTACCACTTCGTTTACGGTTCCTGGGCCAAGGAGCTGATCGGGTTTAACATGTTTTGTGACATGCCAGGCACGCCCACGATCATCTTGGGCGCGGACGCGGACATTTGCAGGAGTTTGTACCGCGGTTTCGAGTTTTTCCTCGGCCAGAACATCGACAGGGTGGTCTACAAGCTGGCGGAGGAGCAGTACATGACGCTGATCGACGTCACCCTGACGTGGTTCCTGATCTGCTGCGGGATGGCTCTCGCAACGGTGCTCCTGGTTTTCCGCGGCGCCATGCCTAGCATCGTTCGCTTGTTCATCATGACGGAGAACATCACTTATTTCTGGACTTCCCTCGCGATCTTCTTCTGGATCTCGCTCACGGTCTTCATGGTGATCAGCACGACGCCGCCGTTGATGTTCAACGTCAGCCACTTTGCCATCTACATCCTCTTGATCAAGATCTCGGAGAACGGCATGCTGCATTACTACAAGTCACTCGGCGACAGCAGTGAGCTCGCCATCTGGCGTGGGCAGCAGTCGTACATGATCTCTGCCCCGCTCTATGTGATGTCCATTGTCCAGGGTACCTTGGCAGCGTGTGGCATCGCATGGCGCAACACAGACAAGTCTTTCTGGCTATCTGCTGACCACGGTGCCGACGTCATCCGTGTCGCCACCATGTGGGTGACCCTCATCTGGGTGTTGTTGATTTTCTGCATCAGCTTCACCGTTGTCATGGCGACACGCTTCGACCTCTTTCACGACATACAGGACAAATTCGAGAGGCAGTGTCAGGTGTGTGCCTGCTGGATGATGCTGCTGGTGGCGCTGACCGTCTGGGAGCCGCTGATCAAGTTCTGGGGCTTCGACGACAAGATCGAGGCGATGAGCAAGGACAAGGAACCCAGCATTGGAAAGTATTGGGCCAGCTTCTGCCTCTATTGGCGCACCCGGGCGTGGATCACCCGTTATGTCACCGATTTCGGCTTGCCGTTGCTCATCCTGTCGGGCGCCACTGGCGGCAAAAGCATCTTCGCCGTGGTCGCCTACGCCACGTCGGGCGCGGGGCGCTGAGGCCGTGGCTTTGTCGTCGGCAGCCGGGGAAGACCTCTCCCGCTATCGACCAGGCCTGATATCATCATGTTTTCCATCGGCTACACGTAAGAATGATCCTTCGCCAGAGTGACCTTTGGTGCGGTCCCAGTGGGGCCCCCCGAATGCCGAACGCGATGCGATGGTAGCGTCTTGCGCGCTCGTGTTTGGCACCACCGCGGCCCTCCAAGAGCCGCGCATCAGAGGTCGCTCTTGCCTGGGGTCACTTCATGCGTGTAGCCGATTCCACAACCATGCAAATTCGGTGCGGCTTGCTCGGCTCGCTAACCGTGTGTGTTTAGCCTGCGCGTGTAATTAGATAGCTGGTGTGGCAGCACACCATGGGAGCGCTGCTTTTTGTTCCTTGCCCACGTCTGACCAATGCTTTGCATGATTTTGCCATTCCCGCCATGCTGCGGTAGGTTCGTGTCGTGCCGATGTGGCGGCGATCCCAGCGCGGGTGTTCAAGGATGAACGCCGGCGGCGGCCAAGAATCGGCCGGAATGAAACGAGTTGGCAATCTAGAAGTCGATGCTCGTTCACGGTTGAACGATCCATTCGGTGTCAGAAACCAACGCCCCAGTCGTCACGACACGAATCTGCCGTACCCGATTTCTGTGGATTTCTTGTCTCCCTCCTGGGTCTAAATTCAATCGACATTGGACAACGTCTCCACGTGCACGAAGCGATCTAGGGTCGCAGCCTCTCCGCATGCACCTGTGCAGCCTGGGACGAATTATAATCAGTCAAGTGCGGCGCCTGGCGGCTGCCACCACTTGCTTGCAACACGGCCGATCCGCTCTCCCAGAACATAGTTCGAAGACCGGGGGTGGACAGAACCCCCAACAGTGACACGTCGATTAGTGAATTGTCCGTTTTCGGTTCTCGAGAGGGCGCCGCGGCCGTCATTTTCCAGGCTTGCGCCCGCCAGGTTTGGGCCTCAGGTCGTTTTCACTAAACCACGTTTTACTAAAGGGGGGTCTGTCCATCCCCGAGAAGAAGACAACTTGCCTAATCATAACATTTCAGCGGTCCGCGCGGATTTCTTGGATATGTGTTGGAGTCACCCGGCGGCGCCCCTTGGCGGGCTCCGCGCGCCAGGGAGGGGGTCTCCGCGCAGATCCCCAAAATCCGCGCAGACCTCCGAAAGGTTATGTTTGTGTAGTTGTTTGATCCTCTAGCAGCTGGCTTGGAAGTAGTTTTGCTGAGGCTCCAATGCGGGCGGGACCTGGACGCGAGATCGGCTCGTGCCATGCCGCTGTCTCCAGCGCAGCACCGCCAGAATTGGCCGCCCCTCACCAAGTCAAAGCAGCGTCGAGAGCACCAGTGGAAATTCGGCGCATTGTCGCAGAAGGAGTGGCATTCCAATCTCCCATTCCCCCTCCTTGCATTTTCTTCCATGGTAGGACGGGGACGACGGTGGCCAAGGTGAGGCGCAGGCCAACGATTCAGCAAGCACCCAGCAACTCAACATCGAGCGACTGTCCCAATTCCGCAGCTACCTGGTCAGCGTGAAAGAAAGAGAAAGGAAGGACGTAAAGACAACAGTTGAAGGAAGAAGACGAAGCAGGAATGAGAGCGGAGTTCCGACGACCAGGGAGAGCGGAGGACAAGGACGAGGTGGAAAAACATTGATAATTGATGACAGGAGCAGCACAGGGGGAGCAGAGAGCAGGAGAGCGAGACAACACGAGAAACATACTTTCCGATTTCGCGCGCTGGCTTGATGCGACGAGAACGAACTGTCTTTTCATAGTATGTTGACTGCGACTTATACTCGAGCTCTTACCTCTCATTATATGTGAGGTGAGGGGTCTTGCAGTATAGTAGGTTTTGAGAGCCAAGAGATCACACGATGAGAGATAAGAGGAGCATACACCGTAAGATGAAATTCAATACTACTGGTCGATGTCTTCTCACTGCTGTTACATACTAGCATGGCCCTTCATTCTGGCTTCTTCCGTCTGCCTACCTTTATCAGAGTGAGGGGCCCAACGGTCATCCATTGTCCCTGGGTGCGTGGCTAAATAGGGAACTCGTGGTGAGAATTCTGCTTGTTGCGTTGTTGTTGTCGTTGTTGTCGTTTTTGTTGTTGTTGTAGTTGTTGTTGTTTGTTGTCGTCGTCCCATCCGCGAGCCACCCGCGACCCTCCCCGCGACCCACCCCGCGACCCGGCCCGCGACCCACCCCGCGACCCAACCCGCGACCCACCCGCGACCCATTCGTGACCCACTCGCGACCCACCCGCGACCCACCCAGCGACCCACCCCGCGACCCATCCGCGACCCATCTGCGACCCACCCGCGACCCCACCCGCGACCCACCCGCGACCCACCCCGCGACCCACCTTCAAGGGAGAAAAACCACCCAGACCCGACACTTGACGTTTAATAAACGGCCCTGCCTTGTTCGATTCATTCCTTGTGTACGTTTACTAAATGACTTCGCTTGCAGGGTTGATTTTTATGGGGTGGATTTTCTGCCCTCGACACCCGCGACCCAACCCGCGACCCACCCGCGACTCACCCGCGACCCACCCGCAACACACCCGCGACCCACCCGCGACCTTACCCACATTTGTTGAACGAAAAAATCGGCGCCTGCGGCGGGCTGATTGCATAATTTGTGAAATTTTGGCGCTTGCGAGCGGCGGGCTTCTCCAGAGTCTCGCAAACTGCCGACGTCCCCACCGCCCCCTCACTCTTATCCGCATCTGCAGGGTGCTACGTATATCTCGCTGTGTCTCTCTCTCTCTCTCTATCTCTCTATCTCCCTCTACGTGTGCATGTGTGTGTGCGTGTGAGTGCGTGTGTGTGTGTGTGTGTGTGTGTGTGTGTGTGTGCGTGCGTGCGTGTGTGTGTGTGTGTGTGTGTGTGGGTTGGCCGGCGTGGATCCCACGCAGGACGTTGCACATGATGCAATATTCGTGGGGCAAGTTGTGTGGCGCAAGCTCTGGCGCAAGCTATGCGGTGTGAACTATGTGTACAATCTTGACGGACCCCCCAAGTGCGGGGTGTGGTTCTGAGGCGGCAGCGGACGGCGATGCGGCGAAATTTCGACGGACCCCCCGAAGTGGGCGGCAACGGGCGGCGACGTTGCGAAATCTAGACGTACCACCCCACTTAGGCGGCAACGAGGCGGCAACGGACATCGACGTGGCGAAACTTCGACGGATCCCCCATGCGGGCGTCAACGGAGCAGCAACGGGCGGCGACGCGGCGAATTTTCGACGGGCCTCCAAGTGGGCGGCAACGAGGCGGCGACGCAGCGAAATTTCGACGGACCCCCACGTGGGCGGCAACGAGGCGGCAACTGGCGGCGACTCGGCGAAGTTTCGACGGGCCTTCCAAGTGGGCGGAAACGAGGCGGCAACGGGCGGCGACGCGGCGAAACTTCGACGGACCCCCCAAAAGGGTTGCAACGAGGTGGCAGCGGGCGGCGACGCGGAGAAAGTTTGACGGACCCCCCTAGAGGACGGCAACGAGGTGACACAATACGTATAGCAACGTGGCCAAAACTCGACGACCACTCTGGCGCAGAGGTCTGCAACGAGGCGGCAACGGGCGGCAACGGCCGACACCTCGACGGATCCCCCGTGCGGGCGGCAACGGGCCAGCAACGAGCGGCAACACGGCGAAACTTCGACGGATCCCCCAAGTGGGCGGTCGTGGGGTGGCAACGAGCGGCGACGTGGCGAGATTTCGGCGGACCCTCCATGTGGACCAACGAGGCGGCAACGTTTGGCGACGCGGCGCAACCTCGACGGAATCCCCAAGTTGGCGGCAGCGTGCGGCGATGCGGCGAAACTTTGACGGACCCAGCCAGTTACTTAGCAAGAGAAGTATGATTTGGGGGATATGCTTGGTATATGCTTTAGATGGGCATCAAGGTATTTCAAGCCTGCGTTCTCGTCCCGCATGCTCCCGTTCGTTGTTGTCTCCATCTTCCCCTTCAGCGTCACTATCTCATGATATCGTTCGCTGTCTCCTCGTCCGATCCATCATCCTTTTTGCCTGTCATTTCGTGTTGTCCTGCCATTCATTATTCTCCCCTTTCCGCCTCCCCGCTCCACATCGTCTCACTCCTCGGCGCCCTTCCCACTTTCTCACTTGCCCCAACAGGGAACCTCACCTGCGGCAACAGCAGGCGCGCCCTTTGTGCCGTCCCCGCGCCCATGTTCGCATTCGGATACCCCCACTTGGGCCGCAGTTGGGGCTCCCCATTGGGCCACAAGACTGTTGAGCCGTCTGCTGGGTCGAGGGGCTTGAGTTGGAGCTCCGCTTGCAACACTGGCCGCCAAAGAGACCGAGCTTGATCCTGCGAGGGTGTGTCTTGGATATTCGTGGGGGTGCGCGCAGGGGATCGTGCAAATACCCCGCGCGAGTGGATGGGTGCGCAAACAGCAGCCGAAGAGCAACGTCGGGGTCTTGCCGCAGGGCGTGAGGTTGCTCTTGGGCAGCCTCTGCGACCGACGTGGCACCGCCCCTTGCGACCGACGTTGTCCTGTGACGCCTCTGCGAAGCTCAATGGGACAGGGCCCAGCTACCTCGGTGTATTCTATACGCGCGCGGCTCCCTTTTGATGCACCCCTCCCGATGGCCGCAGGACCGCGTCCACCAGAACCAGCCGCACCACGGTTACGACCGCGACGATGATGAGGAGTCGTCGCGTTCGCAGGAGTTCCACTGGGCCTGGGGGGGCGGCTCGGATTGCGTTGCCTACCGCACGCGCAGTTGCGCGCAGGTGCGCCACGCCATCAACACGTACTCCCGCTGTCCTGTATCCCGATTTCTCTCCACATCGTCTCTGCCACATCCGCAGTTGTTGCCCCTCTGGCCTCCCCCCTCGCCCATGCTGGCAGAATTCCGCTTGGTATTGCCTCCTGTTTTCCCAATCTTGAATTACCGCTCATTCCATATATCCGCCCCCCGGCATTTTGCGCCTCCCACACTCCAATGTCATGCGCATCTCCATCTCCGCTTCCGTTCCCCCCGTTCTTCCTCTCTTGTCCCCCCTGCCCTGGCTCCTGCCTTATTTTCCCCCGTCCTCTCCAGGCTCAGAGCTCTGATCGGCATGGAAGAGGGACAGGAAAGGAAGAACATAGGTGGAGAATTCGGAAAGGTGGAGGGAGAGAGGGACGAAGCGAGGGGGGAGAAGGAGGACCACGACGACTGTCGGTGGCGAACCCGGGGTGAAGTAAGGTTCGGATGTCCCTGGCATTTTGGGAAGTTTTCTAAGATTTCCCCGACGACACCTGACAGTTTTCAGAAGTCGCGAGGGCTTCTGAGAAGCCCGGCCGCCTTTGAGACGGCCGTCTTCTTCTCACTTTCCCCCGCTCGCCGCCGAGACTGCTTTCGGGAGGCGAGAGGGAGGGAGGAACGGAGGGAGGGGGAGGAGGATGAGAGGACGCGAACGACGACAGACGCTCTTCATGGACCCTCTCGCCCCCGAAGGCCTTGGATGACGACAGCGGCGAAAGCGGGAGGGAGGAGGAGGAGCGAGCGAGGGGAGGTTGCATTAGCCGAGGGGCTTCGCGCGTGCGTTCATCGGGGAGGGGGGAGGAGGGAGGAGGGAAGAGGGGAGGGGAGGGAGGGGGGAGTGGGGAGGGGGGAGGGGGGAGGGGCGGGGAGGAGGGAGGGGGGGTGGAGGAGAGAGTGTAGTGGAGTCGGCCCCGTGGCGATGCGAGTGATAGGATCACCTCTGCACACTGAAAGCGGCTTCTGCCCCCCCCGCCTGCCGCCGAAAATTGGAACGCCTCGAAGACGAAGTATAACATGGTCGGATACTGGAAAACACGGTCGGAAATTGGAGCATATACGTTACCAGTGGCGGACTGTTTTTCAATCCCAGGTCTCTTTCAGGTTCGGGGGCGACGTCGGGGTGGCCCCGTCTTCCTGGGGAAACAACGAAACATGTATACACCAGGATCCGCTTCCCCGTGCGAATGTCAGCGCAGGGCTGGAAAGAGCGTCGGTGAATAAAGTTAGTTTCCCAACAGAAGGGGGTTCACCATGATGTCGGGTCCCTCGGCACACCACAGAACTCTTCCGAGACGGCGTAACACACATGGGGCTCTCTCACCACCCACCAAACCATCCCAACCCAACCCGAAGGCTTCAATTTACTCTCCACTGCCAGTGGGTGTGTAGGGGGTGGGCGAAGACGAACACCGAGAAAGCACATGTGGAACCTGTACGTACCCCCCCAAACCCGAAAGTTGAGCCTTCGGGTTGGGTTGGGGTGGTTTCACTTTCACTGTTGTTTCAGGCCCTTCTGCACACCACGGAACATGGATCGGTAAAACGCAGCACGCGCTTGTAGAACACACACACACACACCCTGCCACGACCAAGAGTTTAACTGTGGTGAACGCTGGCCGGCCTGAGTATACGAGAGATATCTCCGGACGCCGCTGAAACCAGCGGCTGGGCGAACGTAGACACTTGATCACTGCCGGGCCACAATCCGCCCACCAAAGGTGCTAAGCAGCGTCACAGCATCTGTCCGCGCCAGGCATCGCAGGGAAAGAAATCCTACCTCCAACACAAACAATGACCAGTGTGAGTGCTGCGCCACCACAGCGACCGCCCCCAGAAGTGGCGACATGAGCACTTGAAGTACAACGATGCGAACCAAACAATGAAGCCATCAACATGTGAGATACACGGCGGCGAAGGGAGGATATTGATGACAATTCTGTGATTGTAGTAGAAGAAAAACCAATCGCAAAGAACCCAGAAGCAAACCTTGCTCTGGCCAGGCTCAGCCAATACCCGAACGTGTTGCCTTGCGCTGGCCAGGCTCGTGCGGGACACAGTAAATCAGGTTCTGGAGCCAGCCGCAGGTGGGGGTGACCCAACTCCAAAATGAACCCGACCCGATTTGTCACCCGCATGTGGGCCGCGATGATGAATTCTCTCAGCCTTAGCCAACCTGTCAAATACATCAAACCAGCGAGAACGATGGACTTTGCACGGATTCCCCAGGGTGCCACAAGACCGTCACGATGAGACGCCGAGGGCAGTTACATGGCGAGTTGAAACCAAGCAAGATCTTTAGACACCGCCTGGCGTTGCTTGTGCTTGGGAGTCGTGGGGAAGGGGGGGGATGGGGGAGGAGGGGAGGGGGAAGGAGGGGGGCGAGGGGGAGGGGAGAGGGGAGGGGAAGTTGAGATTATTCTCATACGCACCTTTCCGAAGGAGTAGAGTTCAGAGGCGATTAGTGCGTACGCGCCGGGTCGTTCGCGATTTTTCTGGCCGTTTCGCTACGGACATCCTCGAATTTCTGAAAATCGGTGGCACCCCTCACACAGATTGTGACGTCTGGGTCCAAAAACAAATGGGAATTTCAACATTCTCACATAAAACCGTCAAACACACATTGTGAATTCAATGATTTTGACCCCGATTCTCAGACAATGGCGGTTTCGCCTAAGACATCCTCCCAAAATCAAGCCCGGACGTACCTTCTGGTACCCCAGACCCCGCCTTGGAGCCTCCTCGGGGCCAACGGGAACCCTGGGGCCACCTGGGGCTTTCTGTACCTTCTGGTACCCCAGACCCCGCCTCGGAGCCTCCTGGGAGCCTCCTGGGGCCTCCTGGGGGTCTCCTGGAAGCTCCTGGGGCCTCCTGCGGCCTCCTGGAGCCTCTGCGGGCCTCCTGGAGCCTCCTGGGGGCTCCTGGGGGCTCCTGGGGCTGCCTGGGGCCTCCTGGGGCCTCCTGGGGCTTCAGAATATATGCACACACAGAGACACAGATCACACCCAACACATCACACGCGAGACAAACAAAACGCACACACACACACACACACACACACACACACACACACACACACACACACACACACACACACACACACACACACACACACACACACACACACACACACACACACACACACACACACACACACACACACACACACACACACACACACACACACACACACACACACACACACACACACACACACACACACACACACACACACACACACACACACACACACACACACAACACCTACAACGCACAGGAAACACGCACAACACAGAGCACACATCACACACACCCACACAACACTCACAGTCCTTTGTTTTCAGTTTTTTGTGTATGAGCCTGGGCACACGTGTCACTTGTTATATATATATATATATATATATATATATATCGTGTACTGTAGCAGACATCGAATGCCATGTGTGTACTGTCGTTCGCACGTTGGCGCAAACCACCCGCGGCTGGGACGCCGCCTGCAGCTGAGGCTCCGATGCCGCAGTCGCGATTTGCTGGCGGCCACGAGCAATCGGCCGCTGGCAGCATGTGGGCTAATGCGAACAGTTGGGATGCTCCAGCGCCCCAGCTGCCCATGCCGTTGGGCTCGGTCTGGAGCTACTGGGTGCCTCCAGGGTCGCTTCCATGACGCCTCAATTGTGGCATCGCAGAGAAAAATCACCATCACCGACAGAACATATCAATAGTAGCGTTCTTGAAAACAGTGCCTGGCGACTGTTTTAAAGAACGCTGCCGTTCTTTAAAGCAGTCCCGGGGGATTGTGTTCAAACGATCTCTCGATCTCGTTATTAGGGTTTTTGGATTAGGCCCGTTGGGGCCGGTTCGGTTCCGCGGGCTCGGGTTCGATTTTCGTGCCGGTTTCGATTGGCCAGTTCGGTTCGAATCGGCCAGTTCAGTTTCAGCCGGTCCGGTTTGGGCTCCGGTTTGGGCGGTATTTTGTGTTCACCAAAAACGTCGACCGTTATCGGAGTTATTTCGGTGTATATACATATACGTATGGTGGCCGTGGTGGATTTGATGGTGAATTTGATGAATCAGCTCTGGCTTGTCTAGGGCTGCTATATCGGAGGTTTGGAGGTGAGATCGCAGTGAAACGGAGACCCCCGCAGGGAAATCGGTTTCGGTTTCGCGTTCGTGTCGTGCGTCCGGGCGAGGCGAAACTGCGCGTGATCCTCCTGTAGCTAAGCCGCAGTAGGAGCGAAAGTCCGTTTCCCGTCCGCCAGTGGCCGGGAGGTGTCCCAGTTGGGCCGGGCGGCGTCCTGGGTGCCCCGGGCGTCCCAGCGCTAACGCAGGCCGGTAATTTCATAATTTGTTTTTTCGGCGCTGGCGGCGGGTTTTCTTATCCAATCCAGGTTGTATTATTCAACCCGTCTTGCGCAACCCAATCCATCTTATCCTATCCAACCCATCTTGTCGCATCTTATATTGTCTCACCCAATCCAATCCACCCAACCCAATCCATCAATTTATTTGTTTCTGCGCCTGCGGCGGGCCCATCTTCTCTTATCCAATCCATCTAGTCATATCCAACCCATCCTATTTTACCCAACTCATCCTATCCCATTCAATCCAACCCACCCAGCCCAATCCATCAATTTATTTTTGTCGGCGCCTGCGGCGGGCTTTCGTGTCCAAGCCAGCTTATCCTATCCAATCCATACTGTCCAATCCAATCCATATTTCCTTATCCAACCCATCTTGCCCCATCTTATATTATCCCACCCAATCATACTCATCCAACCCAAGTCAATACATAGGTGGATCGGCGGATACGTAGATAGTGGGATTTTATCGTCATCGCGATCATCATTGTGGTGGAGGGAAACTCTGTTAAAGAGGGGGAGAGAGAGAGAGAGAGAAAAGGCGAGAGTAAGAGAGAGACATGAATACATAAAAAATATATGATATCAAGGTCACATGCTGGAGGCCCGCCAGGGTGGGCATTTGAATATAATCCCCTCCCAAACCTCCTTATCGCCCGCAGGGCGGTCGTATAGGTATCTCTCTCTCCGTCTCTCGTTTCGCTCCTTCTTTGGTAACGCTACCGAACTCCAGCAACACTGAGAGGGGTTCATGTTTTCTATGTTCATCCAACATGTCCTAAAGAAATTAGTGCCACATTTGATATTGTTATAAGTTGACCCAGTTAGGCGTGATGTCTTATACATAGGAAACCGTGTACTGTAGCAGACCAAGAATGCCATGAATGTACTGTCTTTCGCACGTTGTCTCCAGCCACCCGAACAGTAAAACATATCCATCGTTATTGCCATTAGTTCATATAGCTTTCGCTTAACGAATACAACCTATCCCAGTTTCAAGATTTTTATCCGAATCTGGAGTGGGGATGGGAGGGGAGGGGAGAGGGGGAGGACGGGGGCAGGAGGAGGAGGAGGAGGAGGAGGAGGAGGGGAGAGGAGGAGGAGGAGGAGGAAGGAGGAGGAGAGGAGAGGAGGAGAGAGAGGAGGCGGAGGAGGAGAGGGAGGCGGAGGAGGAGGACGAGGAGTACGAGGAGTACGAGGAAGACGAGGAGGACGAGGAGGAGACAATGAGCAGAGGGAGGAGGAGGAGAGGAGGAGGAGGAGGGAGGAGGAGGGGGAGGGGACAGAGGGGGGAAGGAGGGAGGGGAGAGGGGGGTTGTGTTAGCCGAGGGGCTTCGCGCGTGCGTTCACAGGGGAGGAGGGAGGAGGGGGAGGAGGGGACGGAGGGGAGGGGAGGGAGGGAGGGAGGGGATGGGAGGGGAGGGGAGGGAGGGGAAGGAGGGGAGGGAAGGGAAGGGAGGAGGGAGGGAGGAGGCAGGAGGAGGGGGGAGGAGGGAGGGGGGAGGGGAGGGGAGGGGGAGGCAGGGGGGAGGAGGGAAGGGGAATGAGCGGGAGAGGAGGGAGGGCGGAAGGGAAGGAGGGAGGAACACGGACGAGAGAGCGCGACTCTCGCTCGGCTCCTCCTCCTCCTCCTCCTCCTCCTTCTCCTCCTCCTTTTCCTCGTCGTCGTCGGCTCCATCGAAAGACTGCTCAGAGGGTTTACACCAATATTTTGTTTTGTTATCGTCAGCCTTCCTGGATTACAGCTTTCGTTAAATAAAGCCACACATCTAGACTGGACCCTGGGCGTTTTTCTTTGAGCTTTTCTCTTTCGCAGAAGATTGGCAGATCTGGACCTGAACGACTGTGCAAGAAAACGCTTGCAGCGATGCCAATTTGTCAGCTTCAAATTTCCTCGGACCGCAGGTGTAGGGACATGACGACGCCATCCTAGACGCCGTGCCTTCTCAAAAAACAATTCAATTGGCAGGACTGCTAAGATGACCACCAATCTGCCCTATGGGTAGGGAGTTCATCCTCGACGCTCAGCCTCCTCCAATAAGCTTCATCAGCAGGCCTGCTAAGATGGCCACCCATCTGCTCCAGGGGTAGGGAGCTGACGAGTCCATCCTCGACGCTGAACCTCCGCAAACAATCTCCATTGGTAGGACTGCTAAGATGGCCACCGATCGGTCCCAGGGGCAGGAAGTTGACAGAGCAATCCTCGACTGAAAACTCAATCGGCAGGACAACTAAGATGGCCACCGATCTGCCCCAGGGGTAGGAAGTTGACAGAGCGATCCTCGACGCTGAGCCTCCGCAAAGAAAAAACAAATTAGTCCATCGGCCGGACTGCTAAGATGACCACCGATCTGCCCCAGGGGCAGGAAGTTGACGAAGCCATCCTCGACTCGTCGTCGTCAATCCCCGGACATGCGATGTCCTGATGTGTTCAATACGTGGTCCTCCCTGTGCCGCTTTTTCATCCTGCGCCGTTTTTGATTGTCCTGGGGCCCAGTGAGGGCCCCCAGAGGCCGCGTATCAAGGAACATCGCGTCTTGGTTGCTTCGCAACGCGAAGACTCAGAGGAGCGGACTCAGCTCCCCGGAGGGGCAGGCCGGGACAGCGCGACGGCGCCGACTCGGCCAGGACTCCTCGCCGGACCTGCCTGGCGGTCGCCTCCTGACGCCGCGGCCCCCGGATGGCATCGTCTTCAACCAGGACGAGATCCACTCGTTCCGGGACCGCCGCCGCGCGCCAGCCCTGGAGCCGTCTGCGGGCCTGAGGCGGCCCAGCCTCGGCTCTGGCGAGCAGGAGGTGCGGGGCGAGGTGCGAGGCGCTGGGTTCGAGACCACGTTCTGCCTCTTGGGGGTCGTTTGCGGGCCCAGGGCCCGCCAAGAACGCATCCGGGGGCAGGCGCTGCGCAGCGGGGGGGCGACGTAATGGGGGGGAGAACAGTGCACTGGTCGTGCCTTGAAGGGGCCCCGGAGATGCACGCTCCTTTCCTCCACCCCATTGTCATCGCCCCCGCATGACGCAACGCCCAACGAGGACGAGAGCCGCTCGTTCCGGGACCGCCGCGACCACATGCGAGCCCTACCCCACTACCCCACGATTCCTAAGGGGGGAGATGGGGTTCACTTCGTTCGGCGCCCCCCGAGCGAAGTGAGCCCCACCTCCCCCCTCAGAAGTCGCTGGGTGGTGGGGTAGGGCTCGCACGTGGCTTCCTATCTCTTGGGATCGGCGCTGGGCTCCCTTTGCGGCGCTTCCGGCGCCGCCCCAAGAGGCCCGCGCGGAAATCGAATAGTTGTTGTGCGTTTGGGTAAGTCGGGCGTGTCCCTCTACAGCAGGAATTTTCAAAACTAGTACGAAAGTAGGTTGGGGACGATGTGTTGCGTATGTTTGAGCTTTGTTTACGTTCCGGGACCGCCGCGACCACATTACCCCACTACCCCACGATTCCTGGGGTCGTTCGGCGCCCCCCGAGCGAAGTGAGCCCCACCTCCCCCCTCAGAAGTCGCTGGGTGGTGGGGTAGGGCTCGCACGTGGCTTGGGATGCGGAAATCGAATAGTTGTTGTGCGTTTGGGTAAGTCGGGCGTGTCCCTCTACAGCAGGAATTTTCAAAACTAGTACGAAAGTAGGTTGGGGACGATGTGTTGCGTATGTTTGAGCTTTGTTTACATGTTCTGGGTCTGTTTTCGCTGTCGTCCAAAACCCGCCTGTAGGAGGGCATGCCCGACCTAAGCCTATGCAGACGTTTGGTTCTCGACGTTCGCGAAGGACTGCGGCCAGGGACGGTGCCTCGGCGCGTCGCGCTGCCGGTCCTGGCCCCCCACGCTTCGGCGCGACACGCGATCCGTTAGGTCGGGCATGTCCTCCTACAGCCGTTTTTTGGGAGGAAGCATCAAGCATAGTCAAAGCATGTTCAAACATGTTCCAAACATTCTAGGGAAATCGCCACCTGTTTGTCGTTGAAAGAAACAGCAAGGATCTCCGCCTGTAGAGGGACACGCCCGACTTAAAGCCGCTGTCCACGTCGCGCTCCCCAGGCGTCGACGTCCCGAGCGTTTCCCTGCCTCCCGCACCCAGGAGCGGAGCGACACGCCACCCGCTCGCTGGGCATGGCGTGTCGCCATGGCCACCGCCGCGACGCGCTGCCCAAAGGTCCCCGACCGTAGGAGGAGGGGAGGAGGAGGAGGAGGAGGAGGAGGAGGAGGGAGGAGGAGGAGGAGGAGGAGGAGGAGGAGGAGAGGCACTAGGAGGAGGAGGAGGTGAAGGAGGAGGAGGAGGAGGAGGAAGGGACGGTGAAACAACATGGGGAGAGGGACGACTGGGCAGCATAAGGGGAGGCAGGAAACACCCGGAGGAGCAGGAGCAGGAGGAAACGGCCTGGCCTTCTTCACTGTCCTGCCTCTCTTTTCTCTCGCCTTCTGCTACTGCTCCTGTCCCCTCCTCCTCCTCCTCCTCCTCCTCCTCCTCCTCCTCACCTCCTCCTCCTCCTCCTCTTTCTCCTCCTCCTTCGCCTCCTCCTCCTCTTCCTGCTCTTCTCCTCCTCCTCCTCCTCCTCCTCCTCCTCCTCCTCCTCCTCCTGCTCCTCAGTTTTCCTCCTCGTCCTCCTCTCCGTAGCCATTTTGGCTCAAGTTCGAAACCTTGCCGCGAGGCTTCGAGCTTGTCCGCAGCCGTGCGGCAGGCTCGGGTGGTTTTGGCGTGTAAGTTTCCTCGTGTCGCGAGGGGCGACTCGGCAGTCAATCCTCCCTGCAGTGCCCGCGATGGTGCCGCCTCCCAAGCTCGCTCCGTGGGGGGGGGCCAACCGTGAGCGCTGGCCGCGCAACGGTACGAACGGCAATCGCAAGATGTGGAAGTGCAGCTACTCAGGTTGCGGCTGCGCTAAGAACCTGCTCAGTTCCTGGTACTGTCAGCATTGCAAGAGGGAGCGGGTGGACGTGCAGCCTGCTGAAGCGGCCCCACCACGCGGGGAATGGCAACGGGGACCCCCCCGAGCTTCCCCGCCGCCTGTGGCGGTGCCCGAGTCGGCCAGCAAAGAGGACGTCCAGCAGCTGCTCCAGCTGGCGGAGAAGCTCGGTGACTCAGCCGCGGCGGCGCACTACCGTGGATGGATCGCCAAGAGGTCCGCCAGCGAGAAGCCCACTCCAGCCAAGCCACTGGAGAAGCAGGCAGAACATGCCCGATTTCGAGTCAAGCTCCTTGAGTCCAAGCTCAACAAAGAGTTGTCAGACACCGAACGAGCTCGCACATAGTACCCGAACTGCGTCGAGGCAGCGAAGAAGCTCAAGATCGACCTGGACGAGGCGGATAAGGAGCACAAGAGGCTGGTGGACCAGCTCCATCATGAGGTGGTGGCTCCCGCGCCTGCTCCTGTACAGCGGGCTCTGCGCTTGCGAGACATCCTTGACGGCAAGGAAGGGGCCATCGCCATCGACTGCGGTGAAGGAGCTCTCGGCTTGGACGGCGAGTATGAGTGGTCGGACACCGATCTGGAAGAGTTCAGCAAGGGCAAGTCCTTGTTCGAAGGCCAGCTGGCGGACATCACCAAGCAGTTGTTCGCCAAGGTACAGCAGTCGGTAGACGAGATCAGGAAATCGCACAACGAACACATGGGTCGCCTTCAGAAGAAAAAACAACGTAAGGTCGAATCAAATGCTGAGGCGGAAGCTGGAGGATCGGGCCGTGGCCAACCCGATCTTCCAGGAGATCATGCCCCTGGGGCGCCAGGAACGGGCACAGCGGCACATGCCCCTCCATAGTCGGCGCCTACGGCAATTACAGCAGCGGCTTCGGGCAGTTGCGACGTGCGCCAGCGCGCTGATCGAGTGCTCTGCACACCGCTGGCCCCGCCGGGACAGGACGCTGTTCAGCCCCCCGCCGCCTAGTGCCAGGCAGTTTGCTCCTCTGGAGGAGGAGGCGGCGGGGGGCCAAACGTCCCAGCACTACCTTCCCAAGCTCTCACCTTCCAAGGGCGGGCCTCCTGCAGGCCGAGATTTTGAGATCAGCGACAGTTTAGTTGCTGCTCGGGTTGGCGTCGGGTCAAATTTTGAGTTCTTCCAGGTGCCCGACTCCCCGTCCATGGGTCAGTTTTGTTTGAAGTTTCAAACCTGTAACGCCACGTCGTGGGGGTCGTGCGACGAATGGCCCCTGGGGGCCCAGGCCCATGCCGTGGCCATCCAAGAGCACCTCTTTTGTCCAGCGAGTCGTGTAAAGCTGCGGAGGCCTGGTGCCTGCGCAACGGTTGGAAGGGGATTCTTTCTCCTGCTCATCCAGGCGAGGGCGAGGGCAGCTGAGGCGTTGAGTGCAGCTGGGGGTCAGAGATCGGCCCGTTCTGCAGAACCCACCCACCAGGCGAGGCAACTCCTGTTTGCACTTCTGGGCTACACAGGGGGGGTGGGGCAACTCCTGCGCTTAACTACTGGGCTACGCACGGGGGGCGAGGCAACTCTTGTTTCCGATTGGGGCCCACCACAACTCGGATGGAACGTTTCCTGGCCAACTCAATCTTCCGCCGAGAGTTGCGCCTTAGGTTCTACATTATCCTATCCCTCGTCTTCCTCGTTCTCTCTTTCTCTTCTTTCCTTCTCCCTCGTTTTCTTCGTTTCCATCTCTCTCGTCCTCTCAAGGATTCAAATCGGCTGAGCAGCCCGCAAAAATGGCAATACATTGAGGAGGAAATGAGGAGGTCGGGGGAGGAAATTGAAGAGTAGGGGGGCAGGGGGCGAGGATGGTGGAGAGAGGTTGGAAAGGGGAACGGTCTTGAAAGAGAGAAGAGGGATGGAGGGATACACAACGCCCGTCACACGCGCTGCCTGGTGGCAAACGGAATAGCGGTTTCGTGGGGGATTCCCAGGGCCCAATGGTGTTGATGGGCCTCGGGGCCCCAGGGGGGGCTTGATGCCATTCGAGGCCGACAACAAAGTAATAATTTAACGCGTAACCATTGGCTCAGTCCAACTGGTGACCCATTCGATCTCTCGATGATCTGGCTGTTCGCACTGGCGCTGTTCTTACATATCCTCAGCGGCGTTGCTCTCAGACTCAAGGAGGAGAGGGACTTGGTCTCGATCCCACTGGTGCACCCGCGCCAGCAGAGCTGTTCGTCAGACGCCTGCGCTTGCATATCCTCAGTGGTGGCGTCCTTGTCATCAAGGGCTACATCTTCCATATCAGTGGCTTCCTTGTCGTCAAGGGCTACAGCTTCCATATCAGTGGCCTTGTCATCTAGGGCTGCAGCTTCCATATCAATTTCCTTGTCGCCAAGAGACACGGCTCCCAAGAGCGAGCGACGACGTAACCCCACCCCTTACACTAAGGCCCCCAAGAACGACCCCAAAAGCGAAGGGCTCCACGTGGTGGAGGTGGATCCAAGCATTCCGCTGCACTCAGGCTCGCGAGGAGCCTCGCTTCCAGGCGCTATCCAATATTGTTTGTTTCTTGTGCACACAAGATTGCTTGCGACTTCTTGGGTCGATGAGAGTGCCTGCGACTTCTTGGTATCCAGAAGAGAAGATTGCTTATTTCTTGTATCGACAAGATTGCTTGCGACTTCTACTTTCGAAAAGGTTGCTTACGGCTTCGACTTCTTGTGTCGACAATATTGCAAGGGGGCATTGCCGCGACCCATCATCGGAATAGCCTTCTCCCCCACCCGCAAGGAGAAGCCTAGATAAGGCCCCAGGAGGGGCCTTTGCCCGCACCCCAACAGAAAAAAAAACAAAAAACAAAAAAACACGCAACACAAAACCAACTGCCCGCGCCAAGAAGGCTCAGAGGTGGCCGGTGCCCAGGCCCGAGAGGGCCTTTAGACTGCCCCAAGACGGCCAAGAAGGTCCAGAGATGGCCCCTGGCAATGGCCCAAGAGGGCCTAGAGAGGGCGTGGAGAGAGCCTAGAGAGGGCCAAGAAGGCCCAGAGTGGGCCACGAGGACCAAGAGGGCCCCAATATGGCCCCAGAGGGCCAAGAAGGCCCAGGGAGGGCCAAGAGGTCCAATAGGTAGGGCCAAGAAGGCCACCGGATCTTGGCAATGTTCCCTGGGTGCGCGTAGCCAGGAATGACGGAAGAGCTGGCATTGGCCCAGAGGGCGCTGAACGAGCTAACGCCCAGACTCCCAAAGGGGTGGAGGGTAACGATCTCTAGTGCGCGCAATCCTGGAATGTTGTTTTTCGCCCACGACGACGGCGGAACGACGGCCCTGTTTCCACATGGATTGGCCAACGAATGTACCGGATTACTATGCTCAGCCAGAGTCTCTCAGTGCATCGCGTCCAAAGGCCCCTATGACACCAGCGCCGAAGGGGGCGGCTCCGAGTCAAAGGGGCCCTGGTACGCCTGTGGAGAAGCAAGGCGAGCCCGATACAAAGAAATCCCGTGAGCTTGCTCAGCCGCAGGACAGCATTCAGCCATCAGCAAAGGCGCCATTTCAGGGCGTCGACGGGCCTCCAAGTCCACCAAGTCCAAGGCATGCTGGGATACTAAGCGCAGGCGCACCCGTACAAGAAGCGAAGGTGTCACCGTCGCCCTCGCCGCTATTTGCAGGGATTTCGAAGTAATTCGGGCCGCTATTTGTAGTGATTTCGAAGTCTTTCAGCGCGCCACCGCTATCTGCACGGGCGAGAGGCATGGTGCCAGCACCGCCGGCAGGCCCGCCCCCGATGCAGCCGCCCAAGATGCAGCAGCCAGCATTCCCGCGCCCGACAGAGCCCACGACTCCCAAGATGCACACGCCCCCGCTGGTTGCCAACCCGAGCGTCAGGACGGAGAACATCAGCCAGCAGGGCATCCTCGAGGGGGACATCAGCCAGCAGGGCATCAGCCTGCAGGGCAACGGCATGCGCGGCACGAGCGACATAGTAGACATGGGCAGCATGGGCATGGGCAACATGGGCATGGGCAGCATGGGCATGAGGAGCATGGGCATTGGCAGCACGGGCGTTGACATGGGCAGCATGGGCATGAGCAGCGGCATGGGCGGCATGAGCGGCTGCATCATGGGCCCCATGGGCGGCGTGGACATGAGCACGGGTAAGGGTGATGATCGTAGTGGTCGCACCTGGGACAAACAAGATTGGCGTGATGATGGTAGTGATCGCAGCTGGGACACGTCAGATCGCAACTGGGACAAAAAAGATTGGCGTGGTGGAGAAAGCTGGGACAAATCAGATTGGAAGAGCAGCAGCTGGAATACAGACAGTTGGGACAATACATAGTGGCGTTGATTTGCTTGGTTAACGTCTACAGTGGACATTGGGACACTGATTGTTATACAGTGAACATTGGGATGGTTATGATCCTACCGTATAGATACACAGTGGATATTGGGATGAGTATTGCTCATTTGATGAGATCATCAAAGTTGCGAGTAACATCAGCAGGTGGTTTAATTCCGTGCACTCTGTGCTGTTTGTGTCACTAACAGTTCCCTTGACCATGGCGCTATCAAAAAAAGATGCCATCCAGAAACGATGCCCATTCAGAAACGACGCCCAGCGAGTTGAACTGATCAGGTGCAAGCTTTGTGAGGCTATTGAAATGGTGCAATATATGCGGTGTGAGCTGCGTGGTGTAACCGATGTGATGCAGTCTATGTGGTAGGCGCTGGCGTCTTCATCTATGTGGTGCAATCAGTGCGGTGCAAACTATGAGAAATGCATGCGGGGACAGTTGAAGTACCGAATGAACCTTCTGAGCACCCACGAAATTATCGACTAAGGTTCCAGAACACCAGAGGTTCGGGGAGCCCCAGGAGCCCCTTAGATGTTGGCGCGACAACTAATTTGGCGAGAGCACATCCAACCATTCCCTTGCCAATGGTTAAGAACCCCTTAGGCAAAAAAAGCACGCAGACGATATCGTGTCTAAGCTTTTGGGGCTTTCGACCCAAGTTTCTGGCCTCTACCTCTTGACCCCCTGGGGGGGGGGGGGGCCCTGGCACCTCGATCGATTGCGTTGCGCTAATTTCCAAGATGGGGATGGAGGAGAAGGAGGGCAGGAGGAGAAGGTGGAGCAGAGGAGGGTTTTATCAGGATTCTGGAGCTCCGGCCACTCTCACATGTTAGGCATGGTTGCCTGCCCTCCCCCTGCGTCGCAGTATCGGGCGCAGAACTCTGGAGCGAATCAGCCTTCTGCCAGACCCCCGCCCCTCTTGTGGAGTGTAATTCTCGGTGGGAATGTCGAGCGGCTCCGCGGCGAGCGGGTCTATGCTTGGTTCCATGCAGGAGCCTGAGCTGCCAGACGTGATGGAGGCTCTCGAGTGCGCTGAAGAGCAAGCGCAGGTCGTGCCCGGGCGCCTCGGGAACAGGGTGCAGTTCGACAAGGCCTCAGCCGTCCTGAGCTGTGTGGATGTAGCTGGTGCGCATGGCTATGTCAAGCAGGAGCTCCGCGACGACTTTGGCGATATTGCGAAGGCCGAGCCCTCCGTGGAGGAGCGGCAGCAGCTGGGACTTCAAGCCTCGGGGCCGAAGGGCGATGACCTCACCGAGCAGGCGGCGGCGGCGAGGCTGGAGCTTGCTTCGTACAGCCATGGCTTCTACAGCAAGATCGTGAGCACGATGGCGCATACGTCAGTCGCACCGCCCGCCGTGCCCCAGACGCCTGAGGAGGACATGGCCATGCCAGTGAGCGCCGAGGGCACGGGTGATGAGGCCGACGGCGACGGCGATCAGGACCGCGACCCTGGAGCCGAACAGCCAGGAGAAGCAGAGCCAAAGCAAGAGCCAGCAGACAACGGCGACAACGTATTGGCGTTCCAGAACACTAAAGGTATCAACGACCTCTCCGTCGCGGCGCCCCTCCCGTCAGGGGGGTGCTACGGGGCGCTTTGCAGGATCAGGGGGCCATCAACGAGTATGTGGAGAAGTTGGCCGATGAGACTTTGCACGATAATTCCGCGCTTGGCACCATGCGCGCCTTGCACAGGTGTCTCACCAGACACAGTCCGAATGTTGTGGGCAAAGCTAATTTCGACGTTCAATTGGCTTTTCACCAGTTGGACAGTAGGTGTGAGAAAGGCCTGATTGCCCTCTACAAGGCGGTCAAGAATTGGCTGGAAAGTCATGGAGATGTCTTGTTGTACGAGACGCTGCGGCCAGTTGCGAGATTACTCCCTTACCTGATGAAGCAACAGGTCTGCATTTCAGAGAAGATCCGCATCGCCCTGATGTACGCCGTCTTCCATGGGCCTGCGAAAGACTTGCAGTCGATCCCTCGCGCCACCGAGACCTTCGACGAAACCATCTTCGAACTCCATTTGAAGATCAGGGGCGCTGTTCCCCGCGTGGTGGAGGAGGCCACTGTTTCTGTCAAAACGGAGAAGAACGGCCCTGTCGAAGCAGAGAGCGATCGCGCTACGCCACCGTTCAAAAGATCCAAGACCAGGAGGACTAAGCGAGCAACAGACGACATCCATGTGCGAGCACCTGCCGGCCAGACACCAGTCTTTTACTTTTCGTACATGCTCTCGAAGGCCGCGAAGCAGCGGGTGTCCTCCGTGCCCGAGAAGGCCGTCGCCAACGCCGTGCAAGCTTACGACCTCATGGTGGGGCACGAGCTGATCGGCAAGCAGTGGGCCTTGAAGGAGAAGCTGATCGCGACTGATATGGAGGACGATACGTTCTCAGAGGCGTCACGGTGCCAACGCACAACGACCCAATCGTCAGATTTTTTTCGGTGTTCGGATTTTCGATCCGTCCTTTTTTCGGGGTTCGGGCCTTCGGAGTTCGGACTTTCGACCTGGCCAGTTCGGTGGTCCTCGGAGGGCCCTTGGCTGGCCACAATGCGCGGGTGGGTTGTAGATCTTTGACCTTAGAGGCATCGAGGGGCAGCGTCGTGATTGCAAAGTGCACCAACCACGTCGAGGGCGCCAGGCCGCCCACAAACGCCGTCAGACAGGCCAGGAGTATCACCCACGACTTGCTCAAACAAGCTTCCTCTCCAGCATCGGAACTCGCTCGCACTATGCAGGCGCGTCCTTTGGGCAAGGCTTTCATGGGGGCCAGCCGCGTGCGCGTTCAGCAGTCCATCGGGGACGATGCAGCGACTGGCCAATTCGATCGCGCATCGAAGGCCTTCCAGGAGGATTTCGCGGAGTCTTTCGAAGATCTTGACGCGCGGGTTGCCCAGGTGCGAACAGAGTCACACCAGGTTGGCTATGCCAATCTCAATGCACTTCTCAACCGCATGGGCCTCGTCTTCACCAGTGCGCACGGCTCGACCAAGGCGTGGTCCACGGCGGCGTGCCATGCGAACCTGAAGTTCATTGCCGAGAACCTCAACAACTGCACGGTATTGCTGGAGGTCGGGAAGTACATGCTCGTTGACATCTTCTCGGAGCTCATCATCGACATGCTCCCTGGTTTCGGTGACGCACTCGTTATTTTTTCCATGGCCACTGTCGGCGATGACGCGGCGACGGCCCCGGCATTGGAGATCAACAAGCTGAAGGCCGACATCGAGGAGTTCACAAGCACAGCGAAGCTGACGTCTTCAGGGCGCCCCTCAGCGACTTGCATGCCAGGTTGATGCGCTGCGCGAACATGCTCCACAAGCGCGTGGGCGGCACGGTGTTTGAGCACATTTGCGAAGACTTCTTCAACCCTGGTAGTTTCGAGAAGGGGCTCATTCGTATGACTAGCGTTCTGAAGAACATGGCGGAGTCCCCAGAGTTTTGCGCGAAGCTGGTGGAGATGAGAAAGATCGCCGCCCCGACAAGGGAGACGCACGAGAAGTCCACGAATGACATCGCCCAGTTAGCAGGCATGGTGAATTTCATGAAAGAGGATGATTTCGTGTTCGACGCCCCGAGCGCCGCGACTCGCAAGGAGATCATCGAGGGCGCCACTCGTGCCTTCAAGGCGTTCGTCGAGGGTCCAGGCCCCACGGGTTGATCTCCACTTGTGTGCTGATCTCGCCGCGACCCTCCCTCAGGTAGTGCAAGCCGTCTCGGCTGCGCGCCGTGGGCAGCCACGGAGGGGCTACGCTACGGAGGGTGGGAAGGCGGCGAGAGGCACCATCGTTTCAGAGCAGCCCGGCCCATCAAGGCATGAAGATCTACACCGAGTGCCCCGACATCTTCATTAGCGGCAAGATCGCACAGATCGCCCCGAGCCATTCATTCAGCATCAACGAGGTCAGCGAGAGCGTGATTCGAGAAGTACTTGCGAAAGAAGTGTTCTTCAGGCTGGTCACCATCTTCGGCGGTGGCAGCATCGAGGATCTGTTTTTGGAGAACGTCAGCTGGGTGGGCGGACAGATCGAATACGAAAAAGCTTTAGAACAGGTCAGCTACAACGTTGCTTTGTCTGACTTGGCGTCTCTCTTGCAGGCTGGAGTCGATCATCTCATCGTGATCCCAGGGGCGAGCATGAACGGCGAGACGCAGGGCATGGAGCGCTCATTGGTGACGACATACTTGGACATCGCGACGCAGGTCAAGGACTTGGTGGGTTGCGCGGCGCAGCATCACAAGAACATGTTGCAGACGAATCCTTTAGACGATACTACGTTGTTCGGCCGCTGCGTGCGCACGCAGCGTATGATGCAGCGGATACTGCTTCGCCTCGATTTTCTCCTTCTGACTGGCAAGTGCCACGCCTTCGAGAAGGCTGGGTTCACTTGCCACCTCAACCCGCAGAGCGTGAGGCAGCGGATCAAGGGCATGGAGCGCTCATTGGTGACGACATACTTGGACATCGCGACGCAGGTCAAGGACTTGGTGGGTTGCGCGGCGCAGCATCACAAGAACATGTTGCAGGCGAATCCTTTAGACGATACTACGTTGTTCGGCCGCTGCGTGCGCACGCAGCGTATGATGCAGCGGATACTGCTTCGCCTCGATTTTCCCCTTCTGACTGGCAAGTGCCACGCCTTCGAGAAGGCTGGGTTCACTTGCCACCTCAACCCGCAGAGCGTGAGGCAGCGGATCAAATATGTGGCAGTGTTTTCAGGGACCACCAAAGCAATTCTCTTGGCGAAGATCTCGGAT